AAAATTAGACTAGACCTTAGGCTTGGCTCTAACTCAGTCCAGTCTAGTATTTGTGCAACTCTAGTCAAGATTTGACTTCCACATGATTTCTTAATTATTTTAAGTTATGATTTGTTTCCTGTTCTTTTGAGTCAAGACTATATAATTTCCTATTTTATGTTTTCATTCATTAGGTAGATTGAGTCTAAGTTTTCTATTTCTAGTCAAGTCAAATATTATCTCTTAATTAGATATTTTCAATTCTTATAATCCCATAATTTTAGAAAACATAATTTCTAAATTTACATGGCTCATCAAATTTTAGTCTTTTAGTTAGGTTATGGAATTTTATGTTGTCTGCATGCAGGTGCCCTCTTCCATTATAAGAGAAGTTGAATTTGAATAATAAAAATTATTCTTATTATTAGAGTTTATAACTTTTGTAAGTCTTAGTGCTTGTAATGGCATCTCATGGTGAATACAGACATAATCAAGAACTTGATTAACTCTTATGGTGTCTTTGAATGTTAAGATTACTAAAAGTAGGTGTTCTAAATGATCTTCTCTTTGATCATCATTTCCTTCTTATTCTTTTTCCATATTTTCATTCTTTTTCTTTGTGTTTCTTGTGTTATTATGTTTGTTTTGTGTTTTCAAGATTCTATTCCTAACTAGCATAATTTTATTTCCTCGTCCCATATCAACATCCCTATCTATTGAAATTCCTTTGATCAATATCTCTCTCAAATTCCCTAATTTGTTAATTGAAACTCCTTATTAGAGACAAACAAACCAATCTAATTTCTTTTTAACATAACGGGCACCAAAATTTGAATTTGGATCCAATTGGTGGTTAAATTCACTCATTCAATGAGTGTCTCACGTGATATGAAAACAATCATTTCATTTATTCAAAAGGTACTAATAAATCTCAAATTTTTTAAGATGATAACATATGTTATGATTGTGAGGATTGTTTTGAATTTTTTTGGAGTGAAACATATCTTAATAATTTAGAAATATTAATGAAATATAATAATTAGGATTGAGACTTACACCACTTAAAAAATCCAAGTGCTATTAGGGGATGAGCACCACGTGCTCATTAGGGCCAAGAGCAATTCTAACCTTTCATTTTGGTCTAAATTGATCCCTGCTATTCATTTAAATTAATTTTTAATATTATATATATAAGTAGAATAGCAAGCAATGTCTAATGATAACACGTGTCTTTGATCTTATTATATTATATTTATTTTTTAATTTTTGCTTTTTAAAAATAAATAAAATTACTTTACCATCAGATATCTCCCCATCATCTCAACTGCCTCAAAAAGCATAATCACAAGCAGCATCTAATAAAGGCACGTGTCCTTAATTTTGTTTTGCTCTATTTTTTTAACTTTTAAAAATAAATAAAAACTACCTTACCTTCAAACATCTCCTCATTATTTCAATTTCCTAAAAAAGTAGAATTGCAAGCAACATTTGAGAACGACACATGTCCATGACTCTATTTTACTTTAATTATTTTTTAATTTTAAATTTTTAAAATAGATAAAACTATCTTATCTCCAAATATCTGCCCATTATGTCAACTTCCCATTTACATATTCATAATTTTAAAATTATAATTTCAAATAACAAATAAAATTCGAAATTCTTATTTTAAAAATAATGAAAAAATTATCCAACTTTTCAATAAATTATTTATTTATAATTTTAAATTTATAATTAAAAAATAACATGAAAATTATGCACTACAAGCAGTATTTGGCGACGATGACATGTGTTCCTGATTCTATCTTGGTTTTTTTATTTTTTACTTTTTAAAAATAAACAAAAGTACTTTACCCCAAACAGCTCCCTACCATCTCAACTTCCCATTAACTTACTCATAACTTCACATTTAATTTAAAAATAATAAATGAAATTCATATGGTCAATTGTATAAAAAATGAAATTTAAAATTCTAATTTAAAAATAATAAGTAAAATATTTGTATCCAATTTTTAAAAAATATTTTTTTGAAAAAGAAATTGAAAACTCTTGAAGAGTGAAAAACTGAAATCTAACCCAAGGATTTTCTAGTAACCCATCCCACATCTTCATCCCAATTATATTTTTTGTCACTTTTCTTACCTCCCTATAATTCAAATTCAAAGTTAAACCTTGAAATTCCTAAAACTTTTTTCTCATTGTACCTTTTGTGCTCACATTTCTTCTTCCTTTTTTCTAAAGTGCTCACTAACATTCACACAAATTCTTGCAAAATTTGCAAAATTATTATCTGATTGGTGTCTAATCAAAGGCTTGGGGAGAGTTGTTCTTGATCACTTAAACAATGATGAAGAATAATTCAAATGAAAGTCCTATAATAAAAGCTCTTGATCTACTTGAATCCCGATAGTTAGCTCTATTCTTCTATCCAATAGTATCTTATCTTTTATTCATTATAATCAAGCCATTTTGATTAAATACATTATAATATTTTTCTCTTTTGTATATTTCTATGACTAAATTATTGTAATTATTTTATTTTCAAAACAAGTGTGAGGAAATTAGGTGATGCCTTTTTTATTTTCTCTATTGAATGTCATTTAATAACAAGTTTTTATTATATGTGCATGTAAAAAGAATGTAATATTTTGAAGGAAATGTATTTTACATGCTTCAAATTGTACGAGTGTAATTTGACTCTAGATGATATTTGGCATCTCTAATCATGGTATGTGATTATATATATATATATATATATTAATGATTCTAATGCTCTTAATTGTCTGGTATATCATAAGAAGTAAAGCCAATGTTAAAAGTAAAATAATAACTTAATATAGAACATATAAAAATAGTTGAATGTATTTAAATTAGTAAAGATTTAAAATTTTTAAATTATTTTTTAGCCACCGTGATCTTTTGATCCATTCCTTTTTTTTCTTTTCATTTATAGTAAGTTCTTTTTAAGCAAATAAAATATAATAATCATTCATAAAATTTAGAGAAAAACAAATCAATATGAAATTAATTTTTGGCGTAAATTAATTTGAACCATTTTTAATTTTTTAAATTAATATAATATTAATTATTGACTTATCATTTTCAAACTTATTTTTAAGATTAATTTAAATTTAATTGATCTTAATTGTAACATAATTATAATTACAAAAAATATATCTAAAAATATTTGTGCATCACAAATCATGTTATTTAAAAGTTAATAAGAAACATTGTTATCATATTTATAAATTTTAGTTTGAAATTAGCTTGTACTTTGTAAATGTCAACATCTAGCACTGTAAAATTTGTTTTCACCCAATAATATCTTATATTATGAATAATTATTTATTATTATTATTTATTTAATTTTTTAGTTAATATAAAAATATAAAAATTTAAAATTTTAATAAATTTATTTATTATCAATCTGACCAATACAAATTTAATTTAATAATCTAATTTAATATAAAAAAATTTATAATTTTATAGTTTGACTATCTATATAGACTTTGGACAATTTAGATATAATCTAAATAATTTAATTTAATATTAAAAAATTTATAAATTTTACAGATTAACTATTTATATATACTTTAAAGAGTACAAATTTAATATTAATTTTTTATATTTTATTTTAATAAATATAATATTAAAAATATTTAAAAATTAATTTTAATAAAATTAATTTAAATTAAAATGGAAGGTCATAATTGCCCTGGACGAGCATTGAATGCCGACGCTGGTATTCGGGGCCAGCAGGCAGCAATGTACGAAGTAAATTAATTGGTAAGTTGTGTTTTATTTTAATTTATTATTTTATTGTTGATTTCACGGGAGGAAGACAGATTCGGTGTTGCGCAACATAAAAAATGAGATGGGGCGTTCCAGATTTCAGGGGACCGTTTGACGCTGGGAACGGAAAGTGAAAGTGCGCGTTCATCTTTATGTTTTTGTATCGGCGCCTGTTTACGTGTTTGTGTGTGACCCTGTGCGCCTTAGTGGGTTTAAAGGAATTAAGGATTTTTTATTTTTATTTTTATTTTATATTTATCATAATAGAAATTTATATAAATTCTTATTAAATCTATTCATCACTAATTTAGATAATCCAAATTTAATATAAAATTTTTTATAAATTGACTACTTAAATTTATTTTGACAATTTAAATTTAAAATTTTTAACTTATAACTTTCTAATAAATTTTTTTAAATTGTTTTAGTTAAAAAATGTTTTTATTTTAATATTGTATTTATGGAAGACGGACTGATATCACACAGCCTAGCCTTGATAAATGACACTTGCACATTAAATAGGAAAAAAACCACACCTGTTTTTTTCCCCCTCTTTTTTTGCCAGCCGCACCTCATGTCTTCAAAATTTTAAAATACTATTTCCCAGTTCACAAACAATCAAACATTAATAAAAGAACTTAAATCAATTATTTTCACTTATCTTGTTAATTTTCCTGAAATATTCCTCTATTTTAATTGGATTATTGAATTTTAGTAATTTAAATTTAAATATAAAATTAAAAAAAAGAAAACAGAGAGGATTAAGTAGGAATATTTTGAGAGAAAAATTATTTAATGTGATATAGCAAAGCAGTGATCTACGAAAAAAAATGAAGGAAAGAAAATTAAGAGAAAAATGAAGAAATATGTTTAGCTCAACAAGAGAAATAGGAAAGAAATAATTGTTAAATTTATAGAAATAATAATAATAATAACCTTAATGACATTTCATGTATTAATGTATTAAATTATAGAATAGTGACTCCACAACAAAACATTCCCAGTTTTACCAACAAAGTACAAAGACAAGCGGTTTAACGGACATAACAAAATACAATAAAATGAATGAAGGCATGAAAATTTAGTGATGGAAAGAGAACGGATGATAGGAAAATAAATAGGACAGATATTTAAAAGAGAAAGGAGGATTGAGAAATCGAGTGGGAGGTGAAGTCACACGAGGCAGGAGTTTGAAAGGGTACATCCGCTGGCTCCAGACAAGAATGGGAGCAGCTGTCAACAGTGATAGCGTCCAATCCCAAGTCGACAGCGTAACATGAATCCACTGTGGTTTTACTGAGACTTTTTCCTCTTCCCATTATTCCTTCTTGCCCATCCACTCCGCTTCACCTGTTCCTGTATCTATCTTTATGTATGGATTCTCACGTTGCCCTCGTAGACGTCGTCTCGCTGTATCTGAGGCCCTCAACTCTCCATCTATATATATATATATATATATAACTTGCAAGACACACCTGACGAGCAGGATCAAGAGACATGGGGCGGGGCAGAGTGGAGCTGAAGAGGATAGAGAACAAGATCAACAGGCAGGTCACCTTCAGCAAGAGAAGGTCCGGCCTCCTCAAGAAAGCCCGAGAGATCTCTGTCCTCTGCGATGCCGACGTCGCTCTCATCGTCTTCTCCGCCAAAGGCAAGCCCTTCCATTACTCCAGCGACCCCTGGTACGCTTTTCATTCTATACCTTCCTCTCTTCCCCAACTCTCACAGCCAATACCTGCTGCAACCTTTTTCCTAATTTCATCTTCCTTGTTCAAATTTCACAAACGCCCCTTCCCCGCTGCAATTTCTACTCCCCCCTTAACATTTCTTGACCAAATCAACCCTTGGCAACCCATTTGGTTGCCTTCCATTACTGCTTTTGATCTTGTTTTCTTAATTTACGTTCAATTTTTGTGATTTGCAATTATTTCTGTCTTAAATTTCCTAACAATTTTAATATCATGTTTCTCGAAATGTTTAATCAATCATCACTACCTTAATTCTCCATAACTAAATAAAAACACATTTTTAATATGAATCAAATTACAATTTACCCATATATATGGTAATAGTATATTTGTTTCGTTTTCTTTGCATAAGTTTGGAAATTAAATAATTCTCACTTGCGACACTCATTCTCTCTGATTTCTGTTTCCTATGTCAATAAATGAAAGTGTGATATAACGACTAGATTCTTGTTAAATATAGTTCATGGGTGATGCATAAAACAAAGAGATAATGAATATGATGGAGACGGAGTTAACCTGATTGACATATATATATATATATATATTCCATCTACTTTTCCCCCTTCAACCGCATAACTACGTGATTAAAGCAAAATTTACTTTGTGTAGATGCGATCCTGCAGATATGGGTATTCAAATTGAATTATTCAGAATTTCTTACCAGGTTTCGTGCAAAGAATACTTGAAAACGTGATAAGGGAGGAGCATGTGAAAATTTACTCGACAGATTATGGTCTTGGATTAATATTTTTCTCAAATTAAAGAAGCAGAGATAGATCAAAGTGAAAAGCAAATTATAGTTTGACTTCATCCGCTTGGTCATAGCTAAATAGAATAAGAAAACGATATCAATTGCTTTCGTGCATACGGGCAAAGGTATTATAGTAGGACAAGTACTATAAGATTAGCTTATATCAAATGTTGTTCTGGTGAATGTGGATTTTTCATATATGATGGTGCAGTATGAATATAGGTTGGTTCACTGTTTGGTTTACGTTGTGAACAGTATGGAGAGAATTTTGGAACGGTACGAGAGGCATTCCTACGCAGAGAGGCAGATTGCTGCAAACGATCAGGAAACCAATGTACAGCACTATCTCTTCTATATATACATATCTCAATTTTTAAAATCCCGAAAGTACACGACCCTATAAAATCTTTCCAATAATTTTGTTCAGATAATTAACCATTCATGTTCATTAAAAATTTTTTTATTAAATATATTCTTAACTTTTCATTTTTTTAATAATTAACTGTTTAAACACATGGACAAATAAATAATTCATTTAACATATCATGCTTCCTTTTGTGAATAACTGATCCTCTACAAATAGAGATTCCTTACAGTTTTACACATATATCTCAAGTTTTTTTTTTTTTGGGTGTGGGGATTTATTGTCATGTTTTCATCAGCGACAGATTTATCTATAAATTTAAACTCAGTTTAATTCGATGCTATCTAGCTACTTCTAAGTTGATTTTACATAATTATATCATTTTAATTCAAATTAAAAAAAAAACTAACTAGGTGTATTTTTTATTATTATCTCCAGTGTCAGGAAAACTGGACTTTACAGCACGCGAAGTTGAAGGCAAGGATAGAGGTCCTGCAAAGGAATCAAAGGTGTACATATTCTACTGATCGATCATCATTAAGAGTGTGTGCTTGAGAGCTGCTTCTGTTTGCGCGTGGGCGCGCGCGCGCGCGCACACACACACACACACACATATCACGAGAGTGTGAATTCTGAAGGGCTTTTTATTACTGAAACGTAAGCAGGCATTTTATGGGAGAAGATCTGGAGGGCTTGAGTCTGAAAGAGCTTCAGAATTTGGAGCATCAGCTGGAGTCAGCTCTTAAACACATAAGATCACGAACGGTAATTAAATTAAAACCATGCCCCAACAAGTACGTATACCGTTGCTATAATTGTGATCAACGGAATGTCAATAGTCATTCATGCAAGTGTTCCCCTTGCAGAACCGGCTCATGAACGAATCTGTTTCAGAGCTTCAGAAAAAGGTGAGCCTTTCTGGCCGGCACGCACTTGATTTCCTCATATGGCAAACACATATATGGTGTTTTCATGAATGTGTGTTTTTTGTTGCATGGTAGGATAAGGCACTGCAGGAACAAAACAACCTGCTGGCTAAGAAGGTAAAGATTTTGTTTAATTTGGCTGACGAGGTTAGAGTGTAGTGTATGTAAGTTGTTTTCTGAATGGGTTTGAGTGAAAACGAAAAATAGATAAAGGAAAGAGAGAAGGCAGTTGAGCAGAAGCAGAATCAAGGATTGGATAATTCCTCTGTTCTGTTGACACAACACCCACTGCTGCCTTTGAATATTATCGGCGGGTAAGTAAAACTCGGGGGCTTCAACGTGCATCTTTCATTATATTGCCTTTTTATAATATATATTTGTGCTCTTTAAAGTTATCAGATACTTTCAATTTATTTGTATTTTTTAATAAGTTAATTAATAAATTTTAAAATTACACATTTTTTTTTATGTTTACCCTTATTTAATTTAATACAGTCTCAATCAGAAAATTTTTATCAATTATAGCTCAATTAAGAGTATTTTTATAGGAAAAATAATAATTATATCTTGGAAAACAAAAACTGTGTTATAATTTTTTTTATAAAAAAAAATTGCTTTATAATTTTGAACAAAGAACACTGCAAACCTTAGTTTTATTAGGAGAAGTCGAGAACATAGATTTGGGCAAACACATTTACGGTATTTACTTGTGTATCACATAATAACTTATATAGGAAATGTTTTTTTATTATCAATTGTAATGACATTTTTGACCAAACAATGCTATCCATGTATCTGATGCTTAATTATTGCGATGAGTATTGTATGAACTATGATTATATGTGATGATGGATATTGCATGCAGGGGATCGACAGGAGGAGCAAGAGGTGAGGGTGTAGATTATGGAGCCAATAACACACTTCTTCCTTGGATGCTTCGCCCCCTCTAAATCAATACAACCCACGCTCTCACTTTTATTTATTATACATATCACTGTAATTAAGTGATACCATCATCTATATATTCTAAATATCAATCATGGGCTTCCACTAAATACATGTCTTGGAAGGGATGTAATCTTTTATGCATGACTTCTTGGAAGTCATTGCGGTAATTGTGACTGTCTCTGCTTTGTAAGTTTAAGTCATTGTTACTCCATCCTTTCATCCATTGCGTCCCATCTATTCATCACCAAATCTAAATCGTTTAAATTTAATTTCCTATCGTGTCTTACCATTGTTATTCTGCGGCAATAAATTATATTTCTCAACTACCAATTCCAAAATATTGTACAACTGTCCTTCAAATTAAATTCTACCCCTCAGCAACTTATTGGCTCCACTCTCGAGATTTCCAATCTTCTTTTTGGAGGTTTCGAATTGTTGGGCTGAGTTTGGTTCTAATACACCCACACTTAGTCTGGGCTTTTAAAATGAGTTGAGACTAGCGACGTTGGAGGTATTTATTTTTGCTATAAGAGTGGCATAAATATAGTGAATTTAATCAAAATACATGAAAGCTACGTATTTATTATATTATATGAGTATCGATTCAATTATAAATTTATAATGAATAAATATCATTTATAATTTATGAGTGAATTGAATATCCGAAAATACTGGTTAGATGAATAAAATGGTAAAAGTGGGAGGCGTATATACGTGGGGAGGACTGAGGAGGCCGGTAGAAGTCAGCATTCATGGCATGGACAGACATATATCCAATAGAATAATGAATATAACCTACCAGAAGAGACCGAGCTGACATCATACATGTGCTCCACGTTCCCCGTTCTACTTTTCAAACCATATACAACTCTTATTTATTCGGCTTCACCTAATTGCTTTTCAACTTATGCCAATCCTATATACACGTTCTCATATTCTCCATTAATTATTGAATTAGTTCCCATTTCAACACTTTCATGTTGGAGCCCACGCGTATGTGTTCATTCTTCCCCCTCGACCCGCCCGCATTTGACTTTCATCCCCTCCCCTCCACTTCTTTCTCTCTCATTCTTACACTAACTTATCACCATTTTGCCATATCTGAAAGGATAGTTTTTCAATGTTTCAAAGAAGATGACATCACTCTCACCTCCTGGAATCAATCATAGTGAAAAATTCTCATGCATGTACCTTCCATTAGGCACATCCCAACGATTCCTTCAAATCCAAAGATGAAATTCATTTATTCACAAAGGATTCATCCTGCAGGCGTGTGGAATCATTGAAGAATTTCTGCTGTTTATGTCGTCTATCATCCAAATTCTTCGTGGTTGGCACGTCCAAATGACTGCCCCACAACGAAGAAATAATATAATACAAACAAGCCAACTATTAATTGATGTGTTGAAGCATATTCATATTCATGGTTCCAAAAAGTCAAGGATTATTCCATACACGATACAAACAACATCCCTAGCTACTTTTTCTTGTTCTTCTGTACGCGCGCGCGCGCGCGCACACACATCAACAAAAGCACAGCTCCGGAGCTTTATGAACAAGGAATAGATAATCTTTCACAATGGGCATAAGGCGATTTAGGCTTAAGTTGAACTGTGTGAGCATCGCGCAAGTGTTTTCTGCGTCGTCGTTTCGATCCAAATCCTCCTCCACTTCTATCAAATACGGGGACGCGAGCGAGTTCCCAAGCATTAGCCTGGAAGATAGCTCTTGTGAAGATAATGGGAATAAGATAATGGTGGTCGTCAATTCCACCTTTGAAGCCAAATGTGCTCTTGACTGGGCTCTCTCTCACGCCGTGCAGTCTCAGGACACTGTTCTTCTTGTTCACGTACTCAAGCCCTCCTCATCACAGGGTCAACAACACTCACCGTTATAACTCCTTCTACCTTTCTTCTTCTGCTTCAAACATCAGGCATTCATACTTGTAAGCTGAATGATGTTGTGATTGCAGGTACGGAGTGTGGTAAGGAGCTTAATCCGAAGACGTATCAACTCGTGCTGGATATGAAAAATATGTGCCAGATGAAGAGACCAGGGGTATGTTAGAAAGAGCCCTAAACATATGTTTGGAAAATGATTGATGAGTTGAAGAGGCTAAGGTTGGTGTTGCAGGTGCAAGTGAAAGTGGTGAAGGTGGAAGGAGAGGAGCAGGGGAGAACAATAGTGGAAGAGGCGAAGCAACAGAGTGTGTCGCTGCTGGTGATAGGGCAGAGAAAGAGATCTCTGTGGCGGGGCCTCGTGCGGAGGTTGTGGGCCGGCAACAACAAGAGAGCAGCCTCAAACGGAGTTGCGGACTATTGCATTCAGAATGCTTCCTGCATGACCATCGCTGTCAGGAGGAAGAACAGGAAACTTGGAGGTTATTTGATCACTACTAAACGTCATAAAAAATTTTGGCTTTTGGCTTAAGCGTTGTTGTCCCTGGAAAAGCAATTGCAACGTCCATAATGTTGCAGTTTATTTCTCTATTTGCAATACACAGCCGTTTTTGTTCCTATATTATTTGCAATACCGGTTATACTAAGTTTCTGTTATGCATGTGGTTTGTCTATAAACGTTTCCTAACCAAACATCCACTGTGTGATGGTGGGAAAGTAGTGGTCTGGCCAACTCGTATCTAGCTGTCGCTTGGGTTGTCCGGTGTGATTTGGCCTGGTGCAGAGATAAATCCCATAACAAAAGAAAAGGTATATAAAAAGAATAAAAGATCCATAAATTTAATATCTTACATTTTTAGGTTAAGTTGTGGTATCATGTTTACTTATATTTATCCAAAATAAACGGCTAAGCTTTTATATACAAAAGAGTAGTAGGGTAGGCGGCGAAAACCCCAAATCTACAATCTATAATTAATTATAATACGTCATTCATTTAGGCGGGAAAAACATCAAATCCTCTTTGCAAGACTAACTCATATGATAAGGATGGTGGTGTAATCGTATGTAAGTGTGAAAGAGATCATAAATCCTAACATTGTGTCCGCCCAAAAGCCAAGTTGAGAGGGAGTCATTCTTGAGTCACAAATTATCGTTGATTCTTGTGAGTAGTTTTCTCACTAATATAAAATAAGCTTTTTATATTAAACTTTCTATATTGATTGGAAGACAAATAATATAAAAAATTAAGACAGGTGATATTTTTATAATATTTGTCATTGATTGTTGGACTTTTTATATCAAATGCTTTTGCAAGTGATGTAGAAAGTCAATTTTTTAAATTGAATGATAAGGTATCCTAGCACCTAATATTGAAAAACATTTTAATTTTTTTCATCCTCCCTCTCCTTTCTTCTTCGCCTCTCTCATCGTCACGCATCTCCCTCTTCCTTCCTTGTTGTTGCTGTTATCATCCCTCCTCCTCCCTCATCATTGTCCTCCTCCCCACAAAATCCAAAACCCCTTTTCCCTTCCCTTGACCTCCTCCTTCTCCCTTCTCTCTTGTCTGGATTCTTCAAGAATTATGGATATTTCTTTTCCCTTTCTTTCTTTCCTTTCTATTTTTTAATCTATATATATATATGATGAAATTAGGGCTGAGCAACAAGCAGGACGGGCTGGCCTGTAGGACTGCTCGTGGCCCGTCTCGTTTTTTTCAAAACGGGTTAGGCCAGCCCGTACCTGTTTACAGCCCGTTTGAAAACAGGTTGGGTGGGCTGCAAACGGGCTGGGGAGGTTGACCAGCACACACACACACACCCCAACCAACCAACCAACCACTATTAAAGGAAACAAGCTCTCATATTAGCAATTATATATTACAGTCATCCAAGCATCATTAATCTTCATAACATTAATCAAATCAAAACAACCACACAAGTTGACAAATAGTCTTACCACAAGTCACAAGCAAAAATCCAAAACAAGTAGCCTTGTCACAAGGCAACAACACAACTAAACAATAAGTGAAAAAAGTTCTTCAAACAATCAACCACATGTCTAATTTTGCATTAGGTCGTCGTCGTCGTCGTCGTCGTCATCATCATCATCATCATCATCATCATCATCATCATCATCATCTTCAGAATCACTAGAAATGGTTGAACGTTGAGTCCCTGATTCTTCCTCTACAAAACAAGTTAAGAAAATCATATTCATTAACATTTGAACAATATAAAGTAATATAAAGTAGTTAATGAAATTACCAATAATAAGATTATCAGACTCATCAAAATTATCAACATCAAGCTCTTTCAATTTGAAAGTAGGTTGAGAAAGCCAACTTTGACCACAAATGAGTGCCTCAACCATCTTTGCAGATAAGGAGTTCCTAGAAGTATCCAATACTCAACCTCCCGTACTAAAGGTAGATTCTGAAGACATAGTAGAGACAGGTAAAGCCAAAACATCACGTGCAATCAAACTTAAGACTTTATACTTGAAAGCGTTCACTTTCCACCAAGCTAAAACATCAAATTTTAGATCACGAGAAGCAACTAACTTAGCACGAAAATATTCACCCACCTCTAAATTTTTTTCCTCTTGGCGTTCAGTGCTTGCAATTGTATAAAATTGTCTTATTGTTTCATCATCCATGACTACCAAGACATCATCATCGAGAATTGACACTTGATTCCCCCCAATATTGTTATCTCCATGCTCTGCTCTTGCTTGAGTTTGAGAAGCTTCACCATCAGAGGCATCCTTTGAATATTCCTCATATAAGCTATGCAAGACATCCATGACATTTTTTGTGACTAGCTCACGTTGCATGGGCTCATAATACATATTTTTCAAAGCAACTTGGACATATTTAAATTTATATTCAGGGTCTAATATCACTGCTATCACCAACAACAGATTCATGTTATCTGCCTTACCCCAATACTTATCCAACTTACTTTGCATCCGTCTCACCATGTCACCCAATAGAGCACTAGAATTAGTTGCACTTTTCTTAAGCTTGGTTTGCATTGCAACTATTTGCTGAAAACATGTGTTGGATGTCACCAAATTTGATGCAGAAAATTTTAAAGTCATGGAGTAAAACAGCTTCAAGAAGACTATAAACTCCTTTGCAACACCCCAATCATATGGACTAGGAGGTTTTTCTTCAACTTTCTTTTTGAAGTATTTATTATAATCTTTATCCTCTTCCTCCATTCGATCAAAAACCTTAATGAACTTCACAGTATTTTCCAACATAATGTATGTTGAATTCTACCTAACAACATAAACAAAGCTTGATTAATATTAAAAAAATAAACATTAATTAACAATTCATAACAATAATTAAAATTACCTAGTGGGATAATCCATACTAAGCAAACTTTTTGAATCAATTATTTGCTTTCCCATGAGCTCCTTGAATCTATACAGCCTTACTAGAGAAGATCTAACAAACTTTATCGCATGCCGAATGAGTTCAATGGACTTATTCATTTCCTTCAATCCTTCAGAAACAATCAAATTTAAAATGTGAGTAGCACACCACATATGCATATACTCTCCATCACACACAAGGCCATTTCATTCCCTCAAATGTTTTTTTAAATATGCAATTGCAGTGTCATTGGAAGAAACATTGTCAACTGTAATGGTAAATACTTTGTCAATACCCTAACTAAATAAGCATCCCTCAATTTCCTTCCTAATTGTATCTCCTTTGTGATTTTCAATCACAGAAAAATTCAAAATTCATTTTTGTAATGTCCAATTCTCATCAATCCAGTGAGCAGTCAAGCACATATAGTTGGCATTTTGGATTGAAGTCCAACAATCTGTGGTAAGGGACACACGGACTTTAGATTTCTTAAAATATTTCTTTAAATGTCTTGCTTCTTCAAGATGTAGCTTGTAACAATCCTTAGGAACTGTCTATCGTGAAGGGATTTGAAATCTAAGCTCAAGTCCATGCAATAGATCTTTAAAATCCTCTCCTTCCACAACTCTAAACGGTATCTCATCTTTTATGATAAATTTTGCAAGATCCTTCTTGCACCACTCTTGATTGAACAATTATGTTGACATTGTTTAGCTAAAAGTAATAGAGAATAAAGACTGTGTTGTCTTGTTGGCTTTGTTTGGATTCTTTGGGCACTTTTCAAAATGCCACCAAAGTGCTTTAGTCCCGATGCTTCTCTTTTGTTTGCTCAAGTGGTATCCTTGTAAAATGCTTCCAAGCTTTAGATCTTTGCTTCTTCCTTTTCCTAACCGGTTCTTGTTTTTGTCCCTCATTATTTATGGCATTCTCTACTCGAGTAGTAGGACTGGGTGATGTTGCAGTAGCTCTAGTTTCAACATCACCTTCTTCCACATTTGCTTTAAGGGTTAGGATGTTGCTCATCTTTTTAAATTCTAAAAACAATTATAACATCAATAGAAAAAATTAGGAAGGCACAATTATTCCAATCAATCATGCAATCCCTTAAGGTTATAATATAAACAAAATCATATAATTTCATTCAGGCATAATATGGGTCAGGCAATGTACTTATGCGTATAAACTAAAAATTTAATCAGGGCACCATTTAATCAGAATATCAGATAATTTAATCAAAATAAACAAAAAATTAATATATATCATCATACTCAATTGTCTTTCATGCACATTGCACAAGTCACAATCACAGCAATTAGAGATAATCAGCCTAAAAAATAACTATACTTATACTGATACAATCACCAAAATCCAGATCAGAGGTAGAATCGAAGAATTATCACTACAATTATAGAGTTAAAACTTAACTTACCTGGTCTTCCTTGGCTTATCAGGCAGAGATGGATGAGCATAATAAACTGATGAAGTAGAAACGAGGGCGGTGTTAGGAAAGATGGGATCGACTTTGAGTAGGAGTGGGTCTGAGCAAGAGTCAAAGCTAAGCACGAGTAGCTATGAGCCATGAGCCTGAGTGAGCGCTGCCGGTGTGAGGGTGAATGAATAGTGTGAACTGCTTGATCAGGAGTCTATGGCTCTGTGACTGAGTATGAGTCAGTGGCTATGTGAACTGTGAGGCACTATTGGCTACCGCACTGTCACTGAGAATCTGAGATTGCAACTTGCGAGGGAGCGAGCAAAGAGAAAGCCAGTGCGAGTGACTAACAATAGCAGCGAGCAACAGATGTAGAGGCCATTTTTAGATGCAAGTGAGCAAAGAGCCGAGGTGAGGAGGCTTTAAAGTTCAGAGTCTTTAGGTGCAATTCAGAGTGAGCGAGTATGCATCTCTGCAAGATAAGATTTGAAGATTGCAACCGAGGGAGAAAGAGAAGCTGAGACGGTGAGAACTGAGAACTGAGAAGCGTCCGAGAGGGACGAGTCACGAGGGTTTCTTTTTTGCCTTTTTTCTTTTGATTTAAGAGGGAAAATCACGCAAGTTTAGGCATTTATACTTTAGCCTTAGGTCTGCCTACAGTTGCACTTTCTGACCTCTGTCTCTGCTCTCTAGAGTCTGACGACTGGACCAAATTTTTTTTTAAATTTAAAACAGGACGGGACGGGTAGCCCGGTGGCTAACCTGTAGCCCGTCCCGCCCATTTACAAAAAAAATGGGCTAGCCTATTTTTTTAACCCCGCCCGTTTTTTTCTTTATTAAATGGGTTCAAACCCGCCCGTTTTCAACGGGTTCAGGCGGGTCCCACGGGTTGCAGGTTGTCTGCTCACCCCTAATGATGATAGTTTAATTTAATTTTTAATTTTAATTTATTTTTTTTTGTTTTTTGATTAATTCTTTTAATTAGTTATTTACTTTAGCTATTGTTAAATATTTTGGTTAATTATTTTTAATTAGTTTTTATATAATTGCTTGCTAGGGAATGCTGTTAATGGCTGTTTAATGCCTTAGGTTATTGCATGTAATCAAATTATTGTTGTTGTTGACATTGTTTAAGCATATAAAATTGTGTATTTTTTGCTTCTAAAATTTTTAGAAGTTCAATTTCTAAGGGAGATTTTGCCAAATTTTTTTAATTTCATTCTTTTCCTTAAATTGTTTCAAATTTAATTGTTACTAATATTGATTGTTGCTGAGAGCATTGTTAGTAACTTCATAAAGCCTTAGGTTGTTGCAAGCAATCATTTATTTGGTATAAAATCATGATTTTCTCTTGTAAAATTTTGTACAAGGCCGTGGGAGGTTTAGTTTTTAAGGAAGACTCTGCCAAAATTTTTTTAAACTTTATTATTTTCCCTAAATTACTCAACTCTTAGGTGAATTAAGAATTTAGATTTTTAAAACAGTTTGAAGGTGGTAACCCATTCGTTCTAAATATTCTTCTTTAGGTAGTAACATATAGATTGTTTTTGGATAAATACTAGACAAATGAGTGATGAGTATGATAATGAGAGGAAAGAGTTTTTGGACTTTGCTAAGAACAAAGCTATTTCCAATAGTGAGACGTTCTATTGTCCTAGTGTAAATTGCTTGAATGAGAGAAGACTAGGTGTTGTCAAAATTAGAGAACATTTGATTTGTGATAGAATTTGCAAAAATTATATGGTATGAATTTGGCATGGAGAACGATTGAAAAATTATAATAGTATGTTTCATATGTGAAAGTTGATAACATTGATAATGAAGCAGATATAAATGATGATCGATTAGGGGACATGATTGTGATGTTGGGGAAGAAGCCTTTGAGCGAGAACTCATGTATGATAACTCGTACGCTGATGCGGAGAAGACCTTATACTTAGGGTGCACCAATTTTAATCTATTGTTTAGGATGTCAAAATTGGTTACCTTGAAGGCAAGAGGTAGGTGAAGTGACAAGAATTTTATATGATTGCTAGAGTTGCTTCAATAAATATTTATGAAAAGCAATGTTCTACTAGATTATTACTGTAATGCTAAGAAGATCTTATGACTAATAGGTATGAAGTATAAAAAGATACACGGATGTCCTAATTATTTCTTATTATACAAAAAAAAAGCTCGAAGGGGAGGAGAAGTGTCCAAAATGTGAGGCATCATGATATCAAAGGAGGGAGCTCTTGCAAAGGCAATATGATATCTTTCAATTATACCAAGATTCAAATAGTTGTTTGTAAATATAAATGATGTGAAGAACTTAAAGTGGCATGCAGAAGATATCAAATGAAAAACACTGACATCTAGTCGATTCTACTCAATGGAAGAAAATTAATCAATTATTTCTTGAACTTGGCAATGAGCTAGGTTTGGATTATCTACCGATGGAATGAATCCTTACAGTAATCTTAGCAATATATATAATTCATTGCTTATTCTTTTAGTGATTTACAATCTATCACTCTAGCTGTGTATGAAACAAAAGTATATAATGTTTTTTTAATTGAAACAGGACAACAATATACTTTTAATTATAATAATAAAATGAATTATATGTTATTTGATTAAGAGTTAATGAGCATTCTAAATCTTAAAATATAACATCATGGACTTTAAATTTTTGAAATGTGCAAAAACTTTCTTTAACTTTTAAATTTTGTATGCCTAAAACCTCACTTTTAAGTTAGAGAAAATAACTATTACTTTTGTAATTGTGAGCCTAGTCACACACTGATATGGCTCTTATCTTGGCTCTTAAAAATAATGGCTATTTTTTTCTACTTTAACGGCAGGGTTTCAATTGCTTGAAATTTAAAAATTAATGGGAGTTTTTATATATTTTAGGAGTTCAGGGTTTATGATATTATTCGTGCAATGATTTAGGATCTAAAATACCCATTAACTCTTTAATTAATTACAAACAAAACAGTTATTTACTGAAAATCTACATTTGTTAGAATCTTGATCCTTTCAAGAATTAGGCATATGATCTTTGATCCTTCAATAAATTATATTTTGACTACTTAGAATAAAATATTAAATTACCAATGAGCACATAACTCAATTAATAAGAAGTTGTGCTAGCTTAACTAATGGTTTTCAGTTCGAGTCTTAAGTATGTAGCTATATTAAATACTTGTTGGAAGAGCTTTGTTGCTAATATGGTCCTAATAATGGATAATTATATCAAAAAAATATTAAAATAATAAAACAACAAAATGCAAATAAAATAAATTTGATCTAAACGACATAAAATAAGGATAGATTCCATTGTATAAAAATATTTTTTTTATCATCCATTTAATTTCTAGGATAGCAATTGAAATTTGAAAATTCTATAGCTTTTCTAATGTGATTTTTTATTCATAAGGCTTGAAATATAATTAATTAATTTATGATGTTTTAAAATATGAATAAAAGTACTTTGATTCATTGTAAGTTGAGTTAAATATAAATATTTTTAATTTCATCAAAAAGCTTAATCAATTATATCAGCTGAAATTAAAAATTACAAATAATGGTCGTTTACACTAATATTTGCTTGGCAAAATTTCACAACCGCATAGGTAGAACGTGCATTTATGTAAACATAAATTTTCAATCATCCGTTTAAAACTAATCCCTTTTACCCTTTTCATTTAGGATGACGTATAAACCAGGTTTATAATGTATTTATTATTTATTTTTCTTTTACTCTTTTAGTTTTTATACAACCAAAGCAGCTCTATTTTTTAAATAATAAAAACTTGTGATTTTTTTAATTTTAATTTTATTATTCTTGGGCCTTCTCCTGCGCTCCCCGGGCTCTTGCAGTGAGCTCTCGCGCAGAACGTCGGTTAGTTTCTTTCTCTTTCTTTCTTTCTTTTTTTAAATTGATTTATTCTCTACTCGATTTACTGTCACTAAAAATGAACTGATCACCATTTCCATTGGCCTTTCGTGAACAAAGCCAACTGTTTTTCTGATTCCTGCTTCTTCAATTCCTTGTCCAAAGAAAATGCGTGAACTGGATCATTACATGGTGTGCACCATGAAGGTTAAGAAGGGCGTAGAGTGATATCTCTATGAAAAAAAATCTTTTTCTCGTTCTTTTGTGGGTTGCAAAACCAACCCAATCCATATTATGGGTCTTTCTGAATCCTTGATTCGGTGGTGAATTGTGGACGCAATCGGTGAAAAATGCGACGACGGGCGGCCGAGTATCGGCGCCCGGTTCGACGGAGGTTTTCATGTTGGATCTGGTTGCTTCTTGGCTTGTTCTGTGTAGCAGGCTTTGTCTTGTTTATTGTACAACACAATCACCATGAAGATCGGGTCGAGCTTGCCTTTCTGGTAAGAAAAACAGAGGAGCCGCATGTTTCTTGTTCCCCCCCTACATACATGTTTCTTTTATTGCGCCCGTTATTTAGTTAATAGACAAAGCATTTTTAAATATCAGAACCACTGGCTGTTTGAATTGGTTTCATAGTTTTTGTGTGACGTTGAAAAGGTGTTGTTGGTTTTTCAGGGTTCCTCCTTACGTAGTCTTCAAATCTTATTCATTCATACACAAAGTTCTATGAATAGCTTTTTCTATTAATTAATTGATTAATTGATCGGAATCGTTTGATAAGTGTTAACCGTATTAACTTCTAACAATTAGCTCGTGTTTGACGCTTCCCATTATGAAATTGGTGTATGAGGAGTCCTAGTTACGTCAGCATTTCAAATCAGTAGAATCTGAATGCTCTTGAAATGATAGAATTGACTTTGGCTACTATCTGCCGCTTAGCTGTAGTGTTCTGTTTTATAATGCAGTTACATTTTAGTATTAAGTGCGTTTTGCTTTCAATGAGGATCGAGTGTAATCAAGAATCTGAATCATTTGCACTTTCCATTGCTTTACATCCAGAAGTCTCATATTTGCAGACTGAAATTAGTCAGTAGCTCATATTGTTTCTTCTTCTTGCTTTCCTTCTTATATCTAGACTGTATGGAATATGCGACTGTGCTTATGGTCTTTGTTGTATGTGAGGAATCAAAGGTAGTTATTGATTAATGATGTTAAACATAAGCTTCTTTTATTTATTTAGTAAACTTTTCAATTTTGAGTTTATGATCATAACTTCTTTACTTTCATGTATCTCTACTTCAGCACATGATCTTCCGTTAATCTTTAAACGGATTTTTTTGTAATTTCTTGGAGACTAATCCATGGCTAATCAAATCAAGATGGAACGGGTTGTGTGATATTTCTCTGGTCCCAATTTGAGTCAGCTTCTGTTCCTCTACTGGGTCAGAGGTGGTTGCAGCCAACAATACAATATTAGCTTTGATCCATGACATCATCTCTAACAAAGAACTGAAATTTCAGATAAATAAATTTAGATTTAGTTCTTTGTTTCATAGAATAACTGACATGATGAAATGCAATGGAATTTGAGGATTTTGTGCATGCATATATGATCAAATGGTAAGCCAAATTTAAATTTTATCAGATGATGGAACAACTTTTTGTTGTTTTCTCTTTTAATCAAGTTTAGTTTAGTGTTGATGGATCTTCTTGTCACTGTGATGTATTTTGGGCACAAGGCTGATGCCCAGGCAATGGTCCAGTACTTTGAGCGGCGACTCAAGTTTTTCTCTAGCCATAAGACATGTTGCTGCGGAAAAAAAGAATAGGACTTGTATTTCAATTAATTACATTTTCCCTTCCCTTTTGGTGGATGATTTTTGTTTTATGGACATCATGGTGTGTTTTCCTTTGTACTATCTTTGAACTGTTGGCATTGCGTTTTTTGATCTTTTGATTGTACAATCTTTTGTTTTATTGCAAATGATATTCCTCTTAAATTCTGAACTGTCTCCTTGAAATATGCTTAGTTATTCTATGATTCTATCACTGTGTGACATGCGAGAAGGCAGAAAACCCCCTGGATTTTTTTTTAATTATTGTTTGAATATTTTCTCTGTTTATATGTTATTTGAAATTTTGGAACAAAGTACACTTTTCTTGTTACTAGCCAGCTTATTTATTGGTCAATTTTCCATGTAATTGAGTGTAATGCTGGGTCAACTTACTAGTAATTTTGGTACTCTTAGTCTCTGGCGTTTGTGTTTGTAATTTGTACCAAAAGAGAAGAAAAAGAAAGCTTTTGATTAAATCACCAAGCTTTTACTATATGAATGTGTTGTGCATAAGGATAGGAAACAACTTTATTGTTGGGGGCCTTTAAAGGGAAAGAGATTGAACTAATATTTTTGGTAGAATTCATTTAGTCACTATGACTACTATGATAAACAGGCCCCACGTATCACCATTGCCAACTGTTAAACCTGCATGACTCTGACACCACCCAGTCCACAGGAATTTTTATGCATTAGGTCATTGATACTTCCAAATAGAATCGTGCCATCTTTTCTTCATGCCAACAGAACTTCTAGTCTGTTTCAACAGCAATAACTTATTTTCAATCTATTATTGATTTAATTGTGTCCTGTTAATGACATTTCTTATGTATAACATATTCATTTGATCTGTTCCGGAAATCTAGTTAAATTGTTTGTGTAGCAAAGGTGATCCGTGTTTCAACGTTGTGTTGCAGCTATGAAGTTATCCTGTTTGTTATTTTCATTGTTGCAAGCATTATGGTATTCCTGCTGTTGTTAATTTCTTTGGAATCATTTAGTAAGATCCATAAAATGTCATAAATGATATCATGTACTTATGGAAGTTTTTTCATGAATATGGAGCTCATCATTCAAATTCTTCTATTGCATATACATGTTATAGGAAAAGGTTTATATGCCAAGGTGTCCTGCTAATATTATAAAAGTTGAGTGATTGGTCACTTGAAGCAGAAAGAATGAAATGTTAACATGACTGGGTGGCCTTAACAATTATGGAATGGATAAGGGGAGGAAGGATTTGGTCAATGGTGATGTCTTCCGAGATGGCTGTGGAAAGTCACCTAAATAGCTTTTGAATAAAAGACGAGGACCTTTGACATTTGATGCATCTTTACATTCCATTTTTACATATGCAACTGTAGCTGTTGATATTCTGTCATGGACATAGATGTTACAGTCGTGTTTTGTAGTCCAAATAACTGAATAACTCATAGTCTTAACTAAATGATATAACTCATTGTATTTAACTGCTTTCTTCTTGGCAATTCTGAGCACTAAGCGACATTCCTTTGCAATTTCAGGAGAGAGATGAAATAACGGAACCCACTGATAAGGATAGTTTGAATTTTACAGAAGAAATATCAAGTGTAACCTCATTTTCACGGCAGCTAGCAGAACAAATGATTTTGGCCAAGGCTTATGTGATAATTTCCAAAGAGCACAATAACCTTCACCTAGCCTGGGAGCTTAGCTCAAAGATAAGAAGTTGTCAGCTTTTGCTTTCTAAAGCTGCCATGACAGGAAAGCCCATTTCATTTGAGCAAGCAGAGCCAATTATAAAAAGCCTGTCTTCTCTGATTTTCAAGGCACAAGATATTCATTATGATGTTGCAACCACAATAATGACAATGAAGTCGCGTATTCAATTTCTTGAAGACCGAGCACATTCAGCAACAGTCCAAGGCAACTTTTTTAGCCAAGTAGTAGCTGAAGGACTACCCAAGAGCCTTCATTGCCTACACGTCAAACTTATGACAGATTGGGTCAAAATGCCATCCCTACATGAACTTGCAGATCAGAAGAGAAAATCTCCACATCTAACGGACAACAATCTCTATCATTTCTGCATATTTTCAGATAATGTGCTTGCTACTTCTGTAGTTGTGAATTCCACAGTCTTGAATGCTGACCATCCAAAACAGTTGGTCTTTCACATTGTTACTAATGGCGTCAATTATGGAGCAATGCAAGCATGGTTCCTAATTAATGACTTTAGAGGGGCCACCATAGAAGTGCAGAATGTTGAGAATTTTCATTGGTTAAATGAATCTTATTCTCCAGTTGTCAAGCAACTCCTCAATGCAGATTCACGAGCCTTCTATTTTGGAGCATATAAAGATTTAGATGTTGAAGCAAAACTGCATAATCCTAAGTATTTGTCATTACTGAATCATCTTCGGTTCTACATCCCTGAGATATATCCACAGCTTGAGAAGGTTCTATTCCTGGATGATGATGTTGTTGTCCAGCAGGATCTGACCCTTCTTTTCTCATTGGATCTGCATGGGAATGTGAATGGTGCAGTGGAAACTTGTCTTGAAGTATTTCATCGTTTTTACAAGTATCTCAACTTCTCAAATCCGATCATAAGCTCAAAATATGATCCTCAGGCGTGTGGGTGGGCTTTTGGTATGAACGTTTTTGACTTGGTTGCCTGGAGGAAAGCAGACGTGACTGCAAGATATCATTATTGGCAAGAGCAGAATGCTGATGGGTCACTTTGGAATCTGGGCACTCTACCTCCTGGTCTTCTAAGTTTTTATGGTCTGACAGAGATAATTGACAGGAGATGGCATGTTTTAGGATTGGGGAACGACGTAAATATTGATCATCGCCTGATAGAAAGTGCAGCAGTCATTCACTTCAATGGGAACATGAAGCCTTGGCTGAAGTTGGCTGTTAGCAAGTACAAGCTGCTGTGGGATCGGTACATAAATCAAAGTCACCCTTATCTCCAAGATTGTGCCACAGGTTGAAATGCACTATCTGATAGTTGAAGAACTGTGCAATCTCTATATTTTCTTGGTTTTTTTTTTTTTAACACCTCGGTTACATGGTTGCCTCAGTGTAGTGTCAGAAGTACACGATCTTGATTTTTCTAGGAGTTTCCTTTTCTTTTTTTCTTTTCTTTTTTTTTTTTTGTGGCTTTCACCTTTTCAGTCAGAGCCACAATATCCCAAAAGAAGGAAAAATGATGCTTCTATACTAGAAAGTTCAAACATGCTAGGTTAAGAGACGTGGGAGATTTTTATTATTATTTTTTTTCTCTTTTTGGGAGTTATCTTCCCCTTCTGCATGCTGCAGAATTCTTTAGTAATTCTTATAATTTTTCAGCACCTTCAAATTGTAATGTAATTGAGCGGAAACAATTTTTTCATTTGCCATCTCTTGCATGTTATAATGCAATTTTTTCATTTGGAATTGAATATATTGGTCCGTATATTGATACAAGAAGAGTGTTTCTGGACATTCTGTTTGGAAACAGACATGAGAATATTTACTTTTTGGACGAGGAAGTGCCCAAATTTTTAATTGATATCAAAGTATAGTTGCCTTCACTTTTCTATTCTTAAATTGAGTATATGAATTCTGCGCTTCAGTTTTATGCAATCAGGGAAAGGATGAAAGTACTTTACTAACGAGGAGGGAGAGGGAGAGGGGAATAAGTACCATTAAAATAAAACAATCCCAGAGGGTGATTTTGGGGAAACTGGTATAAAATCTTAGTCCGTACTTATCTCTCTACAATCCCAAGCATGTCGATGGCGCCTCAGCTTATAGTTTTCAAATGCCATGACCAGGTCAGAGGCACTTTAGCCGATAGTTTTCAAGTATCATATTCTTATTAATCATTATTCTGAGAGCATTTTTGTCATTTCGAACTTTCCTTTTATTTTTTCAGGCTTTCCACTTTTCTCTATAAAAGGAACAAAAGTGATACTATTGCAACACTGGGAATGGTGACATGTCTTCATCCTAAACAACGGATTATTCGAGCCTTTAACTGTGACACAGATCGGCAAAACAATTATAGATGGCTGACATGTTTTGCTTACGAGATAACGATAAACAGAGTAAAAAATACAGTTTTCCACAGCCAGGAAAGCAGAATCCTTCAAATCACTCAATTTAGGCCAGAAGACCAAATAGCAATATCTGAATAGCCATCTTCAGAAGCACATGCTCGGAACATGCCCGTAGTGTTGTAAGAGATAGCAATTTCCCCTTTTGCAGACACAGCAACCAAGCCAACAGTGCCTTTTGGGGTCCGTTCATCAACAACACATTTAGCAGCTTCTTCAAGAGATAGGCCTTTGAACTCCATCAGGGCTGCCACATCTCTTGCAACAGTTCCGCGTATTATTGACTCCCCTTTACCTGTGGCAGAAACTGCACAGAGCTCATTAGCATATGTCCCGGCTCCGATGAGTGGTGTGTCACCGATTCTACCAACCATTTTGTTCACTAGTCCACCAGTAGAAGTTGCAGAAGCCAGATTCCCATGACTGTCAACAGCCACACACCCAACTGTTCCTAATTGACTATCACCATTAGCCATTGGTGTTTCCTTCTTAGCATCAATTTTTTGGACTGGTTGAGTGTAATCGATCTGTATATTTGAGTCATAAGTAATGTTAACATCTTAGGGACAGATAATTTCAGATTATTGATGGAACATAAATATCACATGCTTTAAGCAATAGTCAGCATCAGCCTACTCTTAGAAACAGGCAAAACTGAATACCTGAACCCTATTTGCTTCCCGTGCCTGCTCTAGTCTTTCAATGTTTTCCGCAGTGATAAAGTGGCTTGAATCTATAGTCTCAACACCCTGTAAAACACAATTGCCTTTGAAGATAAAATACATATTGCGATTATTCAGTTTAAATCAAAATTGACTCTACTGCGACTTTCGTGGTGGCTAATATTATGGTGATGCTGTTCTAGTGGCGAGGGAGAGAGCACTAGGAGCGAAGACTGCATTTATCTATTGGTTTTTCACGACTATTCCCGCAACACCAGTTTGGTGTGGGATTGATATTGCTTGAGGTTTGTAGCTGGTCACTTCCACAAGTGTTTATAGCATCTTTCATCCACCTTTGGGTTCAAGTGGTAAGGCTTCAAGCGTGTTTTACCACTTGAACAACTCCTTTGCGGTTTGGATAATAGTCATGGGTATTAAGTAGAGCTCGATGAAGGACCAGATTCCTACTGCGAAACTAACTTATGACACCAATGGTCAAAACAAGATTTCTAAGTAGAGATACTTGCATAATCAAGGTGTGCACATTTAGTTTCTGCATTCAACCAATAGAAGCCATGCAACGAACTTCAATTGCATAGAACGTCCCCAGTCTGAAATTTCAAACCAGCTCATAATTGGTCCAGCGTGCAAACAGCACATACGCGACATAGTGGACCAAGTTATCTAAAGTTACATTGGTGTTAGCAAGATTCCACTTGCAGAAATTCTTAATTGCATAATTGGAGTTATATCATCGTCACACGTTGCTGTTTGAATTCATTTTAATTATATGTTAGTAATGTTACTCTATTTCGCAGGGAACTAGCACAAACAGTTAAAAATCAGTGTATAATCCTGAGAGAGGTGAAGTCAATAGAGTCTGCTCAAAAAAGGGAACAAACGGCAAAAAAGAAAAGAAGAAGAAATCAATGAATGGAGGCTTAAATTAAACATACATAAAAAGACTCCCAAGGAAATCATGTAATAAAACCGCACACTCACTTGTTCTTTAGCAAATTCCTCTGCTCCATCAAACGCTAGATATATATGAGGTGTCTTCTCCATGACCAATCGAGCTAAAGATATTGCATTGACAACCGTATTGAGCCCAGAAACAGCTCCACATTTCTTAGTATTGCCTTCCATAATTGAAGCTTCCATTTCAACCGTGCCTTTTGTTGTCAGCACAGATCCCCTGCCCGCATTAAAATGTGGACAGTTCTCCAATTCACGAACCTAAACAGAGAAAATTTGAGGCAGATCATGTTACAGAGTGAGAAGGGACGGAGGACAATGTCACGCTCATTGAAAATAAAAAATTCAATTGCAGCACCACACAGGCAATATTCAAACGTCGAATTAGAACCCAGAAACACAGATCTGCCCCTCTTTTCCCATGAATTGTCTCAGGATTTGTAAAATCCTGTTATAAAACTGACTTTGGAATTGTTCTCTATTCACACACTCATGGAGACCGAGAGAGAATCAATTTATCTTACTTCCAGGTGACCAGTCACAGAAAGTGGTCTCAAGTTCACATCTCCGTTGATATAATATATTCTTCTCTTTATCTAATGGCACATTCTTCGTAATTTTTAGCTCTGGTCGTATTCTAATTCGTAGTAACACGAAAGTGTTTTTTAAGGCATCATATGTGAAGCGAAAGTGATCGAGCATACTCTATGACATCGTCATTCTGACTCATGAGGTTTCTCAAAACGAATAAAGTCCTCTCAAGCTTTAAATAATTAGACCTTAATTGAGGATATACGATAAACACATGCATTTGGAGTAAAAATACATTAGTGTCCTAATCATAACAGAATCATTCGTAAGCAATGCTAGATCAAATTACGACAAGAGATAGATAGAGGGGGCGGGTTCTGGATCTTACCACAAGCTCGACCACGTCTAGGGGAGGCATTTTGGATTTTAGAGCTTCGACACCGATCTGAAGGCAGCGCCGGAGGGCTTCCTCGCGCGGCTGACGGCGTTCTGGTGGCAAGGAGAGAGGAATGTCGCCGGCACCACCATGAAGAGCAACGGCCCAACCCATGTACCCTCGGCTGCGCGCAACGCCCTGAAACTGGGATGAATTGTCGTGTAGCACAAGCCTGTAAAAGGCTAAAGGAGGGGCTTGCGTAACTGAAGCGACAAGATCAGTGAACGGATATTTTTAAGAAATGCACGCGGATTCCCAATTATTCCGGGTGTTGATTCATAATAAAAGGACAAAGCACAAATGTGGGAAACAATGAATGTGGCGTCAGGTGAAGCGGACAGTGGAGGCCACCGAGGTCGCATCTATGACTACCTTCATCACCGTGTGATCAAGTTGATTTGATTCACGGCATCGATGGCGTACATTGGATTTCTTCTGCACTTGAACCAGAAAGTTAGGTCGTAATGACGTAACGTTACCAATAAATTACTCACGCGTTCTGCTTCTGAGATGATAGATTAGATACTCTTGACTTGTAGTGTATAAACTCTTCGGCCTTGTAGAAATGCATGCAGCGCTAAATTTCAAAGAGAATCACAATCGGAGTAAAAGTAAATTAGAGTGATATTGGTATTAATGACTTCCCATGGTTTCTGTGTTTGTGGCCTGTTGATTTGACCCACATGGAGATGGACACCGTCTCCTCCCACTGTCACTGTCACTTTTCTGTTTGTGGTTTTATACTGATTCCGGTCCCACACTCCCACTTCCACGATTATGCTTGCGTTCCACAGATTTCTCATTACCTTTTTTCAACATTTTATCATTCATGTCCTTGGTTTTCATGTTTGGCCAATCATTTTTTTTTTTTCAAAGACCCCGTACGTGGCATAGCATGGGGCCTGACAGTTTTGAATAATGTTTTTTTAGGCAAATAAAATCACCTTCCTCAAATAGGATTTAACCTCGGCTATGGTGGCCCTTTTCATTAAATCGCCACAAGAATTATTCTCATTCTTAACCTCTTATCTGTGACCAATAAATATTAACTTTGTTCTCATCAAAATGATTTTTTAATTTAAACCTCAAAAAATAATTACAAATCTCTTCTGTTAATCTATTGCAATGTTTTATTATACAGTTCATAACTCGTCAATATTATAAAATCATATCCGATTGTTCCAAATTATAAGATTATTTTAAAAATGATTCAATATTCCAAAATATAAAACAATAAAAAATAAGATTTTATCAAATATACTTTTTCAATATTACAATTCTCTCCTAATTATAAAATCTAATCATTTAAGGTTATAATAAACAAAGAATATTTTTAAAAATTCATATTTTTTGTTTTAAAAAATAAAATTGTAAAGTGTATTAAATAAACTTTATTAGTATGCATAATTTTGACAAAATTTATCTCATAAATTAGAATGGAGGGAATATAATGTAATTATGTGATACGTAAATTGAAAATCTATTTTGCAATGAATTAATTGATAGAAAGGGTTTATCAATAATAATAATATTTATAAAAAAAACTGAAAAGTTTTCAATGTAAGAGACAATTGTACACCCACCCCCCCTTCAAAAAAAAAAAAAAAGCAGCAGCAGCAGCAGCAAGCTTCTGAGAAGCGAGTTTATTTAGGCACATTTCTAGCTGAAAACCGTTTATCCTCTCTCTTTTGTGATGAGAAAAAAAGGAGGGTATATGTTGGGTTTGCATTTCATTCTCAAGGTTGACAGGATCATGCTAAGTTTGGTGCAGTAGGAAATGAAACAATGTTCACTTTAGCACACAACTACTAAATTGCATGCCCCCCCCCCCCCCCCCCAAAAAAACAAAAAACAAAAAAAAAAACACTGGGACGAGCTTGAGAACCCATTTAGATACTCAGCCAATATATCATCGCAACCCAACGGGACTTCTTTATACAGACTTCAGAAGAACCGGTGAAGTCCTCCGAATACTATTCTGTATCCAGAACACCCTGAATGGACAACATCTCGGGTCATCAAAAATGAAAGTAATTGCAAGCGCGGCTTAAAATTCACGAGGTTCAAGTGATAACCTTGATGATCATAATGGCTGCATCCTTGTGTAAAACTTCATTATACTCTTGGCAAGCAAAGCTCTATAACATGCCAAAAAATTTATATAAAATTTGCTTGTGAAGCTTGGTAAATTTAGTTTGATATATTTCACAGCCTACTATTTTTCTTCTTAATCAAAACTAGCCTAGTATTTCAACCAGAATAAGCAGGAAAGACAGAATTAAAGAAAAGTTTTGCGATAAACCTGAGCACAGTCAGGACAACCCACTTCCACTGAGCAATGGCAAGATGAAAGAAGCTCTAGTGCAGCTGCCAACAACTTCGGGAAACAACGTTGGACCTATCAAACATTTCATCATATTGACACAAACTAGAAAGGACGTCCCTAAATGGCACATAGGAAGATCGTTAAAAATACATGCAGTCTTCCACAGTAATGCACCCTGCATTAATTTGAGTGGCAACAAAATAGAGGCATGTGTGGGGTCCACATCCTTTCTTTCCATCGACTACCTATTCTCTCTCTCTCTCTTTCTAAACGTATCACGCTACGCATTTACTTGCTGATTCAGATCCTATTTAAAACATCAAATTATCATCCAAAGGCCAAAACCACCATAACAAAAAAGAATTAAGAAAAATGTTTGGAAAAAGATAAAAGAAGCAAAATACAAACTCCATCATTAGACTAAAGTTTAATGTCAATTACCTGTAACGATAAACCAGATCCTCCAGGATGTTGATCATATATTAGAATTCTCTCTGGTTGATAACGGCGATCATGAGGATTCGGACACTCTGGAGCCAAGTCAGACAAGTTGCATGTTATGTACCTATAAGCATAAACACCATAATATAGAAAACCTGAGCATAAATTTATAACTACATGACGAAAGGAAATAGCAGCTCGGATATTAAAAAATAGCATCATGGTTAGCCTAGTGCCCAGCCATTTAGTTAGATAGAATGTCTGGACTGCCAGATGAAGTGTTTTTAATTTTTTTATGAGAAAAAAGTGTCTTTGTAACAATGCAACCACATGAACAAATTTCGGGCATTTCTTAAGGTGTTAGTACATTATATCAGGTGGCCGAAAATACAAGCACATTATATCCAAATTTTCTAACGATCCCTAAAAAAGGAAGCATCAGTATGCATACTGAAAAATGGATTATGCTATGTTGGCGCAAAAAAAAAAAAAAAAAAAAGGATTATGCTATATCTTCTATTCCATTTTTTGTTCGAACAGAAATGCCAGAGGCAGGTCGCTAATGCAATAATTAGACAGTTTATGAGCAATTTTGCTTTTACAAACATTAATGAGATTATAAAGCTATTTGCAATAGTTTTATATGATTTAAGCGCAGAACTTTTACCAAAAAACAGAGATTTTATTCTGCTGAACAAAATAGCATTATAATTGCAATTAATCAATTAATTAATCTCAAGAATAAGTTTACATCTTACTGAATATATAATAGTGCTCAACCGTACAATATGTAATTTGTAAATAAGAATTTTGATACACATTAAAATATAGCTCAGCATATGTACGAACATCAAGTGCAAAGAAATAGGTCATTCCACAGAACTGGAATATAGCATATCATGGAGAGGCCAAAACTCTAGTATGAAAGTCTACAAGAGACTTACAGAGGCACTACATTTAAAACTGCATGTGATGCAGCATGCAGACCTCCACGAAAATCATAGGTTTGCTTGACTACTGCTTCTTTTATTGATTGTGGCACAGGAATCCAAACCGCCTGTTACATGCAAAGAACACGAGTATTAGTACAGAATCAGATGACACAAGAATAATTGGAATTAATAATTGGAATTAGAAGTCATTTTAAAAAAAAAAAAAAAGACTAATGACTAACGGTCCTCAAGTTTACCTGTGACTCGTATGAATATTGAGGAAGTGATAGGTCAACAGAATCAAATATTTGATTGCTTCCTCTCCAAATACGATAAAAACCAAACCAAGTAGTTGTTACTTTGCACAAATCAGCACGAGCATTTGTTTTTGGAAACACATCAGTCGAAATCTTTACTGGATAAGCCTACAAATAAGTGCACCTTGTGAGAATACATGACCTGAACATCACTAACATATCCAAACAATATAAAGTGGAAGCCTCACTAGCAAATTTAAGTGAAACTAAAATGGAGAAATTCAACTACATCAATGGATGATGCATGTTAAAATATGACTGTTAACTTTTCTTAATTTCCAGAGGCTGGTAATTTATTTACATTTCATTCATCCTGATCGATGCAGCATATTAAGCATGTAATACAGAACTTCCATTTCCGGTCATACACACGCACAAATCTAAAGCACAATTAACAATGACCATTGCAATAAAATATATTTAGAGGCTACCCACATGAATCATCATACTGCGTTAACAAGTAGGAGTCACATACTATATTACCCCCAATGACATGAATGTCAGTGTAATCTCGAGTCTTAGTATAATACTTCAAATCAGCCTCTTTGCAGAAAGCAACCTTGTTGGATAGGTCCAATTTCTCGACCAAATAGGTTTTACCTTGGCACAGGTACACAGCCCCTTCATAAATCTGAATTGAAAAAAAGAAAAGAAAAGGTAAATATACAAGTTTGTGAGCACAAAACATCAAACAATACATAGTACCTTACCTAATATAAAGAAGAAAGTAAAGTTATTCCCGCTCCTCCTTTGGGCAGGGATGAAAGAACATAGAAGTCTGCGGAAGTTATTACCTGAAAAAAAGCCTTGCTCTCCTCTATCTCTTCAAGGACTTTTTTCCTCTGCTGATCCACGACCTCATATCTTATGGTTTCTATTGCTCTGATGTTGACAGCATGTGAAGGCAATTTCTGGAAGAGAGAAAATTCAATGAACAGAACAAGGGATCAATCTCAATGTTTCAAAAGTTCTTAGAGATCAGGCATAACTTCAACCAACCAGAAAGTTTCACGGATTAAAACGAAGATGTTATTACCTGAGGACCAATGTAATTCCATATTCTAGTAGAAGAATCTGATGATTGCTCGTAACTCAAGTATCCTCCAGCTTTTAAAGAAACTAAAGAACTCTCTAAGCAAAAACCAAAATACTGTTCATCATAAGGCACACTCAAAGGGTGTTCGTGAGCTGCACAGACCAAATGCTGTTCCAGAACCTGAACAAAGTTTGTCAGGATAAGCCTAAACCAGGGGGGGGGGGGGAAGATAGAGGCGTAAGTAGAAAATAAGTCCCAAGTACAGAACCTGCTTGTTTTGGGCATCAACATAGCAGCATTCAATTGGTCTACCAAACAGTTTTTCTGGATGCTTCATAAAGTATTGATCAAGGGGATCTCCAAATGCAACATACACAGCAAGAGATGGTTTATCTCTCCTTCCAGCCCTGCCAGCCTGTTGCCACAAGCTAAAAACATAATAGAATTAGAAAAGAAAATGAAAAAGGGAAAAATCAGTTAGTCCCAAAAAAACAAGAAACCAGGGAAAGAAAAGCCAATTTAGATTAAAAAAAATGAGTGTCACTGATCAGTTTACCTAGCAATACTACCAGGAAATCCTAAATGCAGGGTCACATCAATTTCTCCGACATCAATGCCCAACTCAAGAGCATTGGTTGCAACAACACCGCAAATTTTACCCCCAAAAAATCCACTCTCTATTTTTCTCCTATCCTGTCAATGTAAAGCCACCAGTAGTATATCTCAGAATCATATGAAAAACAAAAGCTAATTACCAGGGTAGTAAAAAATACAACAGAATGACATAGCACGTGCATTATGATGAGAAATGGGCAAGCAACCCAACTGTAGAGGTTCAAAGCATGAAAACAAACCAGTAAATTTGGGGGGGGGGGGGAGAAGAGAAAAGAATACTGGTTATGGTGTGCCATATTTACGCTCCTAGTAGCCTTCTGATACAATCCCTCCAGCATATCCTCTGCACACTTATTTCAGAGTTACGTGGGAGTGCTGTTACCAGGAGAGAGGAGGGGGGTCATCAGGAAGCCAGGGGTAGTAGTTATGGACCATATATATCTTGACTGAGTCATAATTCACATTTTCTGACCCTCTCCTGTAACTTCAACCCCACACTGTTAAACATGTGCCTACATTTTAAAATTCATCAATATCCATACTTCTGTTGTCTTACCTTTTAAATTCTGCAATGTTCACGATAAATGAACAGTGTGCCTCATTTCAAGCTACTTGCAAATACACAAGGACTACTCAAGCTAAGTTATCTATTTCCTTCCACTATTTCTCTAAATTCTGGCTCTGCTTTTTCATCTACAATCACCTTAAGTCTATCTATCACTTTTACTCATCAACAACAAATCCCGTCAGCAGGAAATTCAAATGTTTTCCAAAAGTAGTTAGCATCTGCTTTAAATTAGTGAACATACAATAACCCCCCTCTCCACAATTTAGGCCAAACAAATACATCATTTTTTTTTTTTTTACTCGTCATGAGCAGGTCAGTAGTTTTACTAAACTATGATGACGTTCTAAAATGGAAAGGTTGATGGTCTAAAATTGGTTCCTTACCAAGAAAGAGCAATGAAAAGTGTGTTGATCAAAGTAGTTTTGATGAATACTCAAGTGGGATGGAAAACTCTCACCCCCAAAGCTAGCTAGTGAGGGGGGAAATCCAAACCACTAAAATACTCTATAGAACATCCCATACTACTTAATATAAGACTTAGGCATCCCATGTTATTTAAGTCTCCATCAATTGGCCTATATTGAAGAGTCGATATTTTGACAACCTCACTTTATGACACTTCATGATACGTCACTTAGCTACGTCACTTAGCTTCCTTGCTAGTCAAAACCCACCAAAAGCAGCCCTTTCCAAAAAGTCGACCACTAACTCTAGTACCAATTAATAAGTACACAACGGAGATGAGGAACCCATCCCCAAAAGCTAACTATTGAGGTAGAAGAACCACCCCACCCATATATCCCATATAGCATCCCATTCTTCTAGGAAAAAAAGTGAATCCCATTCTATTGAATACAAAACCCATGCATATGATGGGTAGTGGGGGGCAAGGAGGGAGAGAGAGAGAGAAGAGAGAGAAGAAACCGAGAGATAGAAAACTGAATATGTAGTTCAATAAATCAAAGTGAAATTTTAGTACCATATTGCCTCTTATTTATAGGCATTAGATCTATCCTAATCCTATTCAAACTCCACTAATAATATAATTAAATATTAAATCTTATCTAGCTGAATAGTAAATGCTATCTAACCTATCATAAATCATAAATAATCTACATCTATTAAATCTAAACCCAATCATAAATTATAAATAATCCAAACCTATTAAATCCTGACTACTAACTAATTCTTTTCTTATTTACAATAATTACATAACAGCATCCCATGCTATGTAAGTCTCCATCAAAGTGCAAATAACATTTAGGAGGAAAATCTGAATTAATTGCATCAGATATAGGAGAACCAGGAATATATAGGAAAATCAAGGATTGATAGCATCAGTTTCCATTATATTTATTGCATTTATTATATTGCATTTATTGTAAATTATCATCCTTGCTGTATAAATTCCCCTAAGATGTACGAGTGAACTATGAAATGAGAATATACAATCTTTCCTCTCCAAATTTCCACAATTTCTTATTTGGAACAATCTGAGAAACAAATTTAAAACTGCGATTTTCCTTCTACAATGAAGAGGGAAAACGTAGGATAAAACAAGGGGGTCATATGCAGAGAAATCAAGAAAAGCAACAATCATGCTATTGACTTTTCTATCCACAAAATAAGATAGATAAAATATACTTATTCATTTCTACCCATGCTAATCAAGCTAGAAACTTCAAACCCAGGTGGTAAACATTCCATAAAGGAACTGTTAGGAGAAAAGAGCAAGAAGGGAGAGAAGAGGGAGAGAAATAACAACTTCATTCACACAACCCCATTAAATCCTTAAGACCCTGATGGATACCTAAGTAGGATGGAGAACCCTACCTCAAAAGCTAGCTGTTGAAGTGGGAGAACCAACCCACTTATATACCCCATTGAGCATCCCATACTACTCAATGTGGGACTTGGTATCTCATACTACCAAGTCTCTATCAGACCCTATTTATAGATGATATAACTAAATACCCAAACTACCCTTTTATTCCTAATTCCCCTTACTATTCCCAATTCCCATGTATCAGGAACAGTAGATATTTGACCCACAAAAAGGAGCTATAAAAAAATGTGAGAGATGATAGGGGCATTAGCATTTCTCATTTGGAGCAATAATGAAACGTTTCAAATACAATTTTCCTCATATTGATAAGGAGGGGGGAATCAAAAAAAGTCAACTATAGGCCCTTCATATGTGGGTATAATTAGATTACACCAGGGAATGATCAAGCAAGAGAGAGGCAATCAGTATTCAGCAGAACATAAAAGCATCAAACTTGTTGACAATATCCAATGTCCAACAGCAAGATCACAGCAAACTCAAAAACAAAATCAAGGTTGAAACATTTATATCTGGCGGAGGGGAAAACTCCTTTAAAAATAACTCTTTAAAGAACATTAATGGCAAGTCCCTATGCTCTAAATTTACAACAGTGTTGTATATCATATAGGTTTCTGTTAAATCTTTAATTAACCATAACTTTGTTAAAAAGATCAATGTTAGTGACATGAATTTTATATGAAATAGAACGTGAATATGGAATTCAGAAAGAACAAAGCATAAACAAAACCGAAGACCACATAAAATAAGGACTTTACACCCCATGGAATCAAAGTACACAAAAACTAACATGGATATACATGTGCATTATCAGAAATCAATATTTAAAAAGAGAAATAGAAATAAAACTAACCTCTGCAATGTAGCCTCCACGATATGCGCATATCAAATTTACCAGATGTGGGGCTGTCTCATGGAGGATCTCCTGTCTATGACATAAAAAGTCATCAATGGTTTAAGCTTCTACTTTCATTTAAGAACTACATAACCATTAAAACTTTCGCACAAAACCGAGTATCAGATTTTTTTTTTTTTTTAAGATAATCTTCTCATTCAGTGATAAACTACATAAATGCACAAAATCATTTGACATACGCATAGGATAGAACAAGTTCACAAAGTTTCCGTGATCTGCAAAATGTTATGCAACGAAGACCATGCTGAACCATTTCCGCGAAAAGTCGTGAAACATCCACAATTGAACTGCCAAGAAAAACCAAGAAGCAGCATTCACATAAAGATACCAAAGAAATACAATAAACAAGATAAAGCACATTATCTTTTACATTCTCTTAAGCACTTTCATCATTTATAACTGTTCATTATGTAAATCAACATGTTGACTTGAGTGATGATTTATGCCACTAAACATGAATGACAATATAAATAATAAATGTATGAATCTTGTTGGGGCCTCAACTACAGAAACATATACATATGTATGTATGTATGTAGAAGAGAAACAAAAGAAGAAAATAACACATATGATATTTGGTTTGGTCACTCAAATAGACCTACATCACAGTAACTTCGTATCATCATGTCTCCATCAAATTTTTGACTGAAAAATTACAAACTACTCACAATTTTTAATGGAAAAAGTTATCAAATTCTCAGCAAATACAATTTTGAATGGAAAATTTGTAAAATTCTCCTCAAAATTCACAAACATTGAAATCCCTGATTACTCTCAATTATAGTCCTATACAGTTGATTGTGATTCCCAGAGCAATTGATCACAACTACAATATACCCAGATTACAACCTTTTGGTAATCCTGTGATAAGGCTAATTTGATGGTAAAAAATCCAACGCCTAAAGGTTCTATTTACAAGAAAAGCTAATCCCTCCTCCCAAACTCCTAATCAATCTGAGACTAGAAGCACTTTTCAAACAAATAATCTCATTAGCTGAAGTCCTAAACATCATTCTTTCATCCAAAAAGCACGTACTAATTTCAAAACATGTAGACGTTTCTTCTTCCAATGTGGGACTTGGGAAAATCGGCACACAAGAACTTTCACAGTTTATCTACTCTCCCAGAGCAAATATTATGAATTTCCACAAATTTTCTCCTACTCAATTGTCATTCTTCACATTCAAGCTGAAACCTTACTTTGATTAATTGAAGCAGACAGATTAAGAAGGAAAAATATGCACAAAGACATATTTTAATAGATAGTAGCCAAGAATTATAATGCTCATGCTCATGAAAAGGAGGGTTATCACCTTGAACGAACAAAAGTAGCACTTTCATCAGCAACTTCATCAACAGCCATAACAAACTTAGCTCTTTTCAAGAACTGAAATCAGGCAGTATCAGCATTTCATTGGTAAAATATTTGTTTTCAACTAAAGTTATCCAAGCTATAAAATGGTAAACCATCCAAACTTACAGGTTTTGGGCGCAGAATGGGATTCCAAAGGATAAAAAGCTTCCTCGCAGATGGACTGCCATCATTCCTAACCAGCTCCACTGTTGATAAATTTGCAAGTTCCTAAAGCATTAAAATTCCTGATTAAATCTTGTCATAACAACATAACAATTGTTCGATAATAACCAAGTTACCTACATCATAATGCATGCCTGCATTAGTTCATGTTGCTGACATCATTAATTTTATAACACGGCAACATGTCAAAGAGATGTGAAATTGAATCAGTTTATCAAAGACATCTTTACCATACAGTGCTCACGAGGATTTGCAGAGGTTGCAGTAGAAAAAACAAAAGATGGAACAGTTCCATATACTGCATGTAGAAGCAAACATCATATTCATATTTCCCTTCAAACTGAAATATTCGTATGAAGACACTTCTTGAAACTTCAAAATCATGTTGAAAAATGTACCATGTGAACAGAGTCGCTTCAGCCTCCTTAATATAAAAGCAGTATGACATCCAAATGCTCCCTTGTAAGTATGAGTCTCGTCTATTACTACAAACCTAATGAACAAACGCATTCACATCTTCAAATTTGACATAACTTTTAAGGAGAAATTCAACAATGTAAAACAATACAGATAAGACAATACCTGAGATTTGATAAAATCCGACAAAATCTCTGATGATGAGGCAAGATGGATATGTGCAACATATCTGGATTTGTGATCAACTGCAGCATAAGAATGACAAATGAGGCTCATTTCACTCATATCTGTCTGGGACGAGAAAGCCTCTAGTTATTAATATTACCAGCCTAGAATTATCAAGTAGCCATGTCCTCTCATTCTGAGAAGTATCTCCATCATATATACCAATATTGAAGTCAACATCCAATACTTTTGTCATATGTAGCAAAGCTCTTAATTGATCTTGAGCCAATGCCTGCATGCATCATGTACTTGAACCACCTTATTAGATCCTCACCCAGTCAAATGAAAATGAAAAAATTATGGCTCTCCAAGAATATAGAGTAGCCAATGACCTTTGTTGGGAATATGTACAGAGCACATGATGATTGATTCTTTGACAGCCATTCCAAGACTGGCAAGTTATAACATAGTGATTTGCCACTGGATGTCATAGTTGACACGACAACATTCTTCCCGGAAAAGGATGCTTTTATAGACTCTGCCTATGTACAAAATACAGCAAAACCTGATGATGAGAAACTATTAGCCAGAAGACAATGATTCCACTAATTCAAGCAGTACCTGATGGCTATACAATTTGGAAATTCCCATTTGACGTAGTGCAGATTTCAGGTTTTCTGATAATTCAAGTTCTGCATAAATTGCTTTCCTGGCGGAAATGTCTTCAATGTGCACAATCTGCATCAGTCGTTGACAATCTGCATTAGTGTTTCTCCACTACAGTCACTGAGGGCATGCCAAGATGCATGTTTATCAGTAAGAGTAGAGCATCAAGTTTGACAGTATATATATTATTGGTTGCACCTATTTAACATAGGGAGAATGACAAAGAGATCTCAAAAGAACCAATTAATTCAAATTAGGTCCCAAATGTCAAATTTTAAGAATTTGCAACTTGTATACTAAATTTTAACAAGGAAAATAATTTTTTTATTCTTCAATCATGTTAAAATTTGAAAAACAAGTTGCAAATTCATCACAACACGATTGCAAAATTGAGAGCTTGAGTTGCAAATTCCTGAAATTTGGCATTTCAGACCTAACTTGAATTAATTATTCCTTTTGGGACCTCTTTGTCATCCTCCCCTCAACATATGCAATTGGCTGATGACAAGCAAAGTGTAGTGAAGTTAGTTTTCATGTATAACAATTCAAATTAAAGTGGGTCCTGTACATTTGCAAAAAACTTTATTTGAGCTGAACTATTTACAGCTTCTGAACAGTATAGCTCAATACTTATAAAAGATTATTATAGATATTGATTGCCAAAAAGAACAGTGCAGGGAAAACCTGTCCTTCAGATCCAATTCCTTTTTGAAGATGTTCAACCACTTCCATGGGAAGCAAAGATGATGTTTCCTGCCAAACCCACAAGTTAATGGAGAGGCAACATAGTTCCTTTTCTGAAAATATATATTGCAGCAGAAATTATCACCAAAGCAGAAGAAACAGAAGCAATAAAGGTAAGTGCAATTTAATTTTCCCAGCCCAAGAGTTAATAGACTGGCAATATAATTACCATTCCAGCATTGACTGAAATTATCCAAACCTAAAACTCAATGGTATTATTCATGACTAACTCCCTTGAACATGAAACCGAATTTTTGCCTGGGAAATTTAGGTCACATATAAAACACATACCACAAAACCAACAGATCTAGAATCTGCTATGTTGTTCCACCGTATTATTTGAGGTAGAATGAGGAATAGTCATAAACTCATGATATAAGACTAGCTGAGTGAGGAAAAGTAGATAATAGCATTGCATCAACAACATTGACCACTAAAACAACAACAATAAACACAGAAGTATAAAAAAAGCAATGCGCAATGAAACCACAGAATTAGTACACATGAATCTCAACATTCTTTTTTGCTTTCCCATTTCCTTCATTTTTTTCTTTGATAAATTTCATTTTTATTCAAAAACATATCAAATTATAATAACTAGGTAAAATGAGATTATATGAACACATACATGACACTTCACACAATCTGAATCACATTTTGAATTATTCAAGCTTCTCTTTATGGGTCTTGCTGTTCTTTCATTTTGAGTAGAACATTGGTCCTTGATGGATGCAATCAAATCTTCCAAGGAAATTTTCAAGGCCATCTCATCTCCACAAGCACTCTGCAAATAAAACAATCCACATTATTCAATACCATGTAAAAATAAGTTGCAGCAGTTAAAATGTTCTCAGCCCAACAGCTAACAAGGGTTTCATGAATAAACAATGATGTAAATTAGAGGAACTGAATATGTAAAGGTAATCATTAAGCTTCAAGATGAGAGAGAAATGAAAGTGGCACTATTAAGGACATAGCTACAACTCCACTTCTTCATCAAGATTAAAACCAGGGAGAAAAAAATGGATGAATCTCAATCTTATGCCTTCCTCCACACAAATCATCAACTTCTTGATCAATTATTATGGCTGACCACAAGTTTAGAACAATATTCCAATCAAAAATATACAGCAGCTATCTCAAGTGGATGTACATACTACTGCTAGGTGGAAGTCAGAGTTCATATGCATGAGCGCATCTGTTGCAACAAGGCTAACAGCAAAGAGCAATAAATACATGATGTTATATGTTAAGTAAACATACCAGCAGCCCTGAAAATGCCAGCCACAGATTGTTTTGAAAGAAACTTTCCCTTCTCTTCAATGCACTGGCAATCTTTGAAACAAGCAACAACTTGCGACCTATTTAAACAGGATGTTTCAGACAATATATAAAGTGCCGTATGTGCCTCTGTCTGCACTAAGGGTGAATCTCAAAACCAGAACAAAATAACGTTCAGTAATACCTCTTTTTGGTGTATCCTTTTTGTTAACTTCATCTCTTGTTGAATGTTCAATGATGATCATGACATCATCATAACTTGTCTTTTCGATATCATCCGTAAAACATATTAGCTATAAAGGATGCAATCCACAAATTAGAGCAGGAAAAGATAAATAATTAGTTCCACAAATGTGTCACAAATGCATATCAGGAAATAAAAAAAAAATTAGGGCATTCTACAGTTGACTAACACAAGAACACTTGTTTTTCAACCAAAAGTTAAAAAAAAAAAAAAAGGTTCATTTCTAAAGACTTAGTAAGTAGTAAACATAGCATACTTCATCACGTGAATTATAGATTTATAAGGTGAGGGTAGGTATGTATAAAACTTAGGCTTTTGAAAAGGATAAATCTTCAGAGGGGAAAACAAAAGGAAAGCATTTAATCAGTTTACCTCGGGACAAAGAAGGGAAAGACGCTTCATATCCTGAATATTAAGTTTAACTCCAAATTTTCCAAGCTGATTCAGTGCATTTTCCAATAGATTTGAAGTTGTTTTCTTACCCAGTAAATGAAGCCACGCAGAAAAAATATTTATGAAAGTAAACGCCTTCATCACCATCTTCAACCATTGGGGACACAAGCATGAAATATCATTATTCACGTAAGACCCCAAATCCACTCCCTTCAGACGGGCTCTCTTAAATAACTTGCAATGCCCAAGAGGCAGATCTGATAAACAAGTTATCGAAGCCAAAACCTTGGCAAGGACTTCACAATTGCGTTCTCCAAGAGCATCCTCAGTCTCACTAGTATACTGCAGTGTATTCAATATAAGGTGATAAGGAAGCTCTATCTGCTTATCAGAACCAAAATCCCACTTGGATTTTGACTCGGTGCAATTAGAACTAGGGGTCTCCGCCATCTTCTTTTTCCTACGTTCATCAGTAAAACTGTTGAACTTTAAATGAGATGCTTCATCGTCATTTTTAGCGTCGCTCTGAGTCTCACGTAAATATGATATATCCTCCATTATATTGGACCAGGTAGAATCAGCAAGATTTGAAATTGAAGCTGTATCAGCAACATTGGAGGGAGTTGCAGAAGCATCACATTGGTTTGGTTTCTTGGTAAACGGAACTAAAACAAGGAAGTCACCGGTCTCGATGGGGTAACAGCCAATTTGACTCTGCAATCTCAATTTGTCACCCTGGAACCAGAACACTGTTATCCCATTATTCATAAAGTGAAATAGACACGTCATAACGACGAAAAATTGGAAAACTTCAAAAACTGCAGAACAGGAAAACTGCGAAGGTAGAGTAAGAGTGGGAATTGAAGGAATGTGATGGGAATGAAAGGAAAGAAAACTGTACGGGGAGAGAGTGAGAACAATACCTTGAAGAAAAGGTGGAAATTGGGGAAGTGAGTGGCAGGAGGGAAGGATTGGTTGAGTAGAAGCTTGAGTTCTCGAACGGTGCTGCTGGAAGGGAAGCGAAGAGCGATGGATTCGCCCGAAAGGGTTCGGATTTGAATTTCTTTACAGGCGTTCTCCTCCATTGTCCGTCTCAGTCTCGAGGGCGTTGCGAATGGCGGGAAGGGTTTATAGACAATTCATCATCAAAGGGATATCCCACGATATAATCTTCTCACCCGAAGGAATAGAGAGAGGGAGGGAGGGGGAATGAGATCTAAAGAGGAATTTAGAACTTGAAAACAAGTTTGTTTCTTAATTTTATAATTTTATTGTGATAAATTTATAATTTTTTTAAAATTTTAATATAATTGAAGAATAAATAAATTTATTTTTTTAATTAAAATTTAAAATATAAATTATAAATTTATTATAATAAAGTTATAAAATTGAAAGTTAAACTTGTAAATTTATGAAATTTAACACTTAAAACTTAATTTAATTTTATGTCATTCTCCTAAAAAAAAATGTTGAGCCCGACACTAGAATGACAAGGTTGTAATAGAGGCATAAACCCAATTAATTATAAAAGACTCATTTGAAACATTGTTCTAAAAATTGATAGTTTGTAAAAAGATAAAGGTGTAAATATAACATTGAACTATTTTTCGAGGAGTATCTGAGGAGTGTCTGGTAGCTTATATTATGGGGTTGGTACAAAATAAGTTATCAATTACTCAAAATGGAGCACCCGACACCTTTCATCCATATGAGAAACTTCCATCCATTTTTAATGGTAGGGCCCGCATTGATGACATCATCATCCTCACCTCCCTTCATCTCATCCCCCCTCCCTCTCTCTCATATTCATCCTTCATGGCTTTTCACAAACTAGAAATAGCATTATTAGCACCCATCATCATTGTTGTCTTCATTTCTTCTTTATGGATTACACAACATGGTAACTACAACAACGCTAAGCATTTGCAGATAAGGCATCCTATTTGGAATACCATTAAGCAGCATCTGGTCCTTAAGGGAGATGAAGGGGGTTATGTAGTGAATGAGAAAGGGGGGAAAGAGAGGAGGGAGAGCTCTACTCTCCATAAGTGGTTGACATCTTAACGTTGTTCCTCAGCTTTGCACTCACCACTTTCATAGGTGTCTTGCCATGTCGTCTCTTTGTCTGTCAACAATCTCATCATCGAACCATACACGATATCACTTAGCATCTTGATCTTGTCCTCCTCCCTTACACATCTCTCATTGTAAGCCACCATTTTCTATGCTAGAACTCCAAATCCACTTAGTGTTATCTCATTCCTTCTAATTGGCTCCATCTTATACCACCGTCACATCACTCTTCTCCACTAGATTGTCGCCTACTATATGGACCGTCGCATCTAGAGCTTTCCCAATCGTTTTTGTCTCCTATAGTCGCCATGCTTAACTGTTCATAGTTAATGTGTCAACTACTCAGGGATTATTTTCACGTGTCGACCATCGAAGGTGATTATTTTCCACAATTCTCATCTGTATGGTTTTGTGAAAGCTAAATAGATGAAGAGGATGAAGTCATCAAAGTAGGCCTCATAAGTAAAAATAGATGGATGTGACTCATGCAGATGGAAAGGTGCTAAGTGCTCCATTTTGAGTAGTTCATAATTTGTTTTGTACTAACCTATAGCATTGGCTATCAGACGCTCCTCAAAAAATAATTCAAGATCAAAATTACATTTTTATCCTTTTGTAAAATAAGTTTTGAGAATAAAAAAAATTATAAAAGCAAGTTGTAACCTCCCTAAGGTTAAATCACACTTAACTCCAAATTATGGTAATCTAGGGCTTAACTCACAAAAATTACCAAACTATAGAGTTTCTAAATGAATTTCTCAATATCTATTTCAAGGAATCCCAATTTTCAACCTTTCCAAATCTCAAATATAATTTAAGGACTCCAAATCAAAGTTTTAAAAATAAAGCGGAAGCTTGAAAATCAATTAGGACCCAAAAATAAGTTTTAAAAACTCAAAATAGATTTTACACAAAATTTGACACATGCACCGTGGCGTGTCTCCTCTGTATCATGCACTGCGGCGTGAGCCATGCGCCGCGACGCATTGCACAAAATTTGACAGATCAGTGCTGTCATTTGACAACACCAGGAGCGAACTTCCGACGCATTTCAAATCTCTGTCCGACATCCGATTGAGGTGATTTTGATGTCTATATGGAGCTTTTTCCTAACTCTAGCTAATGGCACCGATTTCACACTCAAATTTATTTTCTATTAAAAGTTGGACACTAAAACCTATGTTGACACATTTTCACAAAATTTTCCAAATGGAGTATCCCAACTTAACCACACGTGCCAGTAGCCTACACCAACTATCCAACCATACTCAATGGACTCTTATGAACTTGTGCAACATACCAAACACAGCTAAAAACACTTATTTCACAAAATTCCCACTCAACCCCAATTTTCACAAAACATAAAAGGGGAAGAAAAATTGCACAAAATCAACCATTGCATTTATATTTCTCAAAAATACATATGTTCTTATTTGCACAGGTATTTTGGCCCTATCCACGAGTTCACAATAAAAACTCACTAACCCAGAGCACAAAATACACTAGTTAAATACAAAACCATGCAATTAGTACACCTATCATGGCAATTAATTACTAGTTGGCAATTACATTAACAAATACACATGAAAACAACTAAAGAGAGACATAAAGAAGATTTACTCCATAAATCCTAAGTCTCTGTGTGTTTTTCCCGACTTGGATCTAATGAACTAGTCCCAGAAAATATTGAGAATTGAGGGGTGCGTACAACCACTCAGTAACCAAGTTTCACTTAACCCTTACAGTTACATATTAATTGTAAATAGATACAAGAAGGCATATAACACATATATCACATAGTATTAGGCCATGATTCACAAAATTAACAACCATGTGATCGGGCTTGCCTTAAAACACTATGCCATGTTTTCAAAAACATAACTCAGGGTCGCAAAAATAACAACCATGCGCCTTTAACACGTGCCGAACCACAATATTAACAACCATATAGCCGGACTTATATGCATGATCATATGCCAACTTATATCCTCTTGTTACCTCCAACACGAAACTAGCGGACGTGGCTATGTCCCTTACTGACTAATCCAGCCTTCTACTTGTGAGGAGTTACTGGGCTAGAGTTAACTCATTCACTTATGTAATCTGGTTTCCCACAATACTAACAACCATAGGGTGTCGTACCCCTAATCTAGCCTCCTCATAAATCGGTGGAGACTAGTTAGGTTTGAGTCCCTCGTAGAACAAGTAGGACAGTCTCGAATCAACCATGGGACAAAGGCTACCTCCCGATTCCAACGATCGGTGCCAAGGCTAGTTCTCGATTCTAATGGTCACTGTTAATACCACGTGGATTTCAAATCAAACTACTTCTCTCCTTAGGCGAACTCCCGCCAATGATCATGCCATGCACATCACACATTTTATGCATTTCAACATTCATTACTTAACACATGAACTCACATAACACGTATACTCCACATTTTGACACGTAATTCATCACAATTCTCCACTCATAGCAATAAATCACAATTAATTTTATAAAATATCAAGGATGGTAAAATCAAGGTTTTCTTTCTTAAAACCATTTCATACTCAAACATTTGCTTATATGCATCATCAAATTATCTCACAAATTATATTTTACAACACAATTAACATTTAACTATAAAAATTAAGTTTCCTTCGGTTATCTCAAACCTTTGAGAAGTCAAAAATTTACCCCTTACTATAGCAACTTCCCGAGCTTCAACAAGCTCGAAAGGTGCCAAGACGAACCTCTCTACAACCAAATCATAAGGATATCATCATTTAGCTCTTCAAGCTTTAACAATATAAAAACTCCTCATACACTATTTTACCAACTCATAACCACTACCCATTCATACCTAATGAGCTCATTAGATTTCACTAATGTACATTATCATTAATAACACCTCAAACCATCATTAATGCACATTAACCTCTCTCAACTACATCATAAATACCAATTTTTGAATATTGAATGCTCCTATAGACCAACCACTTTCAAAATTATCAATATGGTGTTCCAATACATTAAATCACTCCCATTAATCTCATTTTAACTAATAGAATTGGACCCATACTCTTATGGATCGAAAATCTATCTTCCAACTCAAACCCTACTATAAATAATCATAAATGAAAAAGGGAAGGGAAGAAGGAAGCACCATAATCATACCTTGAGTGTTTGAGAGCTTCAATCTATCCACAGTAGGGCCAAATATCGTGCCTAGCAGAGCTAAAACTAAGCTCTCCATTTTCCTCCTCTCTTCCTCTTCTGTTTTTACGTAGCTCACGTATCAAATTTATTAGATTTTTGACCATGCACTACAGCGCACGTTGCCCTCCGCTACGGCACATGGCACAGAGGAGCCCGTTACGTTCAAATTGTGTCCGTATGCTACAGTGAACCAACCACACACTGCGGCGTATGGCACAGAACACAACTCTTCACTTATTCATCCTTTTTCCTTGCCCGGGTGGCCCGCCATCAATCTGGACCCACTTCTAGAACTGAAATCATAACAATTTTATCAAGTTAAGCCCATTTGACCACACACCTCATTAACTCACTAACTACCCTAATTAAATTAATAAATTAGGGTTAAAATCTTTTGGATGTTACACAAGTGTTTTTCATATTCTTCAAAACAATAACTCTAAAACACTTAAAAGATGTTGTCATTTTTCTTTTTTTCAAACCAATATTTTATTTTTTTATTCTTCAAAACATTTTTAAGAAGTACATTGTCAAACAGATTTTTTTGTTCTAGAAAATAAAAAATTATTCTTAAAATAGATTGCAAACAAATCCAACTCACTCACATCACTTGGGAATAAAACTTTGGAAAAATGACAACTATAATTATATAAAAAAAATCAGGAAACATTTAAGAACCCTTAACTGCACTTAATTAAAAAGAAAGCCCCTTAAACTTTGAAACTTCATTTCAATTCAAGGGTTGTGAAGTAAAATTAAATGTGAAGAGAAATACAAAATCAACCCTCTTTTAAATCAAAAAACAATAAACCATTTTGCCTTTCCTCTTCTCTCTTCAAAGGCAATCAAGCAAGCTCCATGAAGCATCGTTGTTGAGCATTCCACCCTTGGTTGAGCTTGCCATTAGACACCATCTACTGTTGTCAACCCTGCATGGTTGTTCTCAAGCAAGTATTGAAAAAGGTATGAACTTTCTCTTCTCCCAAAATCTGGTGACCATTAAATTGATTTCCTATTCTGAATAGGGGACACAATGCATTTGGGACTAGTTCTTGAGATAGGAAGGGCATTTAGAAGGAAGCAAACTTTGTCCCTTGACAGACTATAGACAAAACGTGCTCCTTGAGGTTATTACAAAGGGAAAAATTGCAAGCCTGCTATTTCCACACGTACAAAGGTTTGTTGACAAACTTGTTAAATTAACAAACTTATTAGCTAACATACAATAAGTTATTAATTTTCCTTTTGCGTTTGTTAATGCAACGTACTAGAGTTCTTAGGACTTATAGGGGGAAGTCTATTAAGTCCTCCCAATTTGATGGCAACAAACACTCCTTTACCCTTACAAAGTGTGCCACAAGGCTCAGAAGAAGAAGGACTTGTAAATGGAAGTTTATTGAGTTTTTGGAAGTAACAAGCCTAATAAGAACCAAAGATGAATGACTTTTGTTACAATATTAACAATGTCAATGTTGTTATAACTTTTGTCATGTTTGTAATGTTATTTTTCTGTGTATATATGAACAAGTCATTGAATGAGAATAAATAACTCATTTATGGTTCATTTGTGATGGGAATGAATAACTCGCTTATAACTCATTCACAATTGTATTTAAAAGGAAAAAATGAACTATAAATATTGACAAGTGCTGGAAGGGATATAAATAACTCTTGTAGAAAAATAAATAACTTTTGCAAGGAAATTAGCAACTCCTATATGGGCAATAAACAACTCATTTTACTATGATAAAATCACTAAATAAGATCAAGTGAACTTATGTGCACAAAAAACTCTTGTAGATCAATTAATAATTTCATGTAAGGAAATGAATAACTTTAGTATAGGTAATAAAAATAACTTATTTTACCATAATTACAACACTTGAAATACAATCAAGATTTAGTAATGACAAACAATTTCTATAGATCAATGGACAACTTCATGTTGAGAAATAAATAACTTGTTTTAGCAAGATTACAACACGAAATAAAATCAAAATTCAATAATAACACAAACAACTCATGTAGGTCAATGAATAACTTCATGTAAGGAAATAAACAGCTTGTTTTACCATAATTACAACACAGAATAAAATCAAGACTCAATAATGATACAAACACCTCATGTAAGTCAATGAATAATTTTATGTAGGTCAATGACACAAATAACTCTTATAGGTCAATGAATATGCTTCATGTAGTAAAATAAACAGTTTCAGTTTGAGCAATAAACAATTTGTTTTACCATGATTCCAATTATTGAATAAAATTAACATTCAGTAATGGTACAAAAAAAAATTTATAAGTCAATGAATAATTTTATGTCGGAAAATGAACAATTTCAGTAGAAAATCAGAGGGGATGAGAGATAATAAAATAATTTTACTCTGCATTGGAAGTAAATTTTCAGAGTTTAAGAGGCTTTCTTTTTCATTAAGTGTGATCAAGGAAACTTAAATGAAATTTTCTAAAATAATTTTATTACTTTTTGACTTATTTACAAGTCAAATATTTATAAGTAGTCGGGATCTATGAATAATTAATTTTTTCATATAAGATCTATATGTAATTTTTCTTGATTTTTTTTTTTTTTGTTTTTCAGCCACTGAAAAAACTTAGGAATGGAACCTGCGACACTCACTTGAGTGAAAAAAAACGTTGCGAATCAACATAGCCTTTTAATTGGAGGAACCATGGGCAGCCTGAAAAATATATAGAACAATGTAGTGATAATTTTTTAAAGTAGTTCAATTTTTTATTTTTCCTTTTTTAATAGTTAATGCCGAGCTCTGCCGACATACTTACAATGTGAGGATGTACTCTTAAATATATGTTATCTTCTTTCACAAATGGTCTTAAAGAGATTTTTTTTTTTGGCACCATCCAATTCATTTGAAATTTTACTCTAAAATATTTGCTATAAAAATACTTTAATTGAAAAAATATCAGTCTCTTCCTATTGTCTCAAACACAATTAGACGAATCTTTATATATTACACCAAATTTAAAGAATAAAATAGACTGTTAACAACTTATAGATAACCCAACCTAATTAATAATATAAAGTTTGTATATTATCTTAAATTAATTTCTACATTGAGATTAATTATGCCACAGGCGTTCTGACCCAAAAAAATAAAAATTCATACCACACGCTGTGAATTACTTGAACGACATGACACACCATGTATGCAAAGACTAGATATATTGTATGCATAACAAGATTCCGGCCGAAAGAAACAAGATTCAAAATTCTATCTTTCTTTAAAAAACAAAAATGAAAGCATACGTAAAATGGCACATTAATTTCAATGGTATAATAAATTTGGTGCCCCACTGGAGCATCTTCTAATTTGCTCTTTTGACACAAGGATAAATGATTTTGAACTTTAAAAAAAATAATAAAAGAAGATTATTACATCTTTATAAAAAATAAAACTATTTACGTAATTATTATAAATAATATTGTTATCACACTATGTGAAACGATTAAAAAACATTATAAAGAGATAAAAATAATTCTACACAAGCGAGATTCATCTACGAATGTTTACAATGAAAAAAATCGAATGCTAACTAGTAATTGCCTTCCCATTCTCTCATGAAAAGCACGAGGAAAAAAACACCATGCGTTCAGAGCATACTTTACAGCTAGCGTAGCATGATTACAAATATACATTAATATATATTTAACAATGAACTCGACATTCCACCGACTGACCCTAGCAACTTCTTCCACTAAAAAGGAAAAATTCACAAGGAATAAAGCGTTCTCGTTTAATAGAATTTCGATAAATAAAGTCACTAACGTCCCCAAATCTCAATCTTACATGAGCACAAGATCTTGTGGCTATGAGCACGCAGCCAGGTTTCTCCAAGGGAACAGCAACATAACTCTGAAAGAACATCCAAATGTGAACAATGTAGGAGGTCCCTTTATCTGTTACAGATACAATGGTAATTACAGCCTATACAATGGTAATTACAGCCCCAAGCCAGAGACAGAAGTGATGACTGCTGTATATGGAGTAATCTACAACTCCTTCAGATATGGTCAAACCATAAGCATTTGTAAACTTGAAAAGGATTTGGGAAATTAAGATGTACGGAAATGCAGTTAGAGCCCCTAAAGACAAATTCTCCTCATTAATAGAGCTCTAGTTTATGAGAGTAAAATCTTCAAAATGCAGATCATACCACGAATTTGCATATCAAATAAGCTTACAATCACAAATCACTTTCTCTTGCACAGACTAGCGGGCACATACGCACGGTGGATTAGTGCTACTACGATTTGGGTAAAGGACCAAGCGTGTAAATATTTGGGAAAAGAGCTAGTAAATTCAAACGCTAAAATTTTTGGCTCTGGAAACGAATGATTGAAGCTGTAACCTAGCATTGGAGGCAGCAGCAAGGGATTCTTCGTCTTGTTTTTTCTTGGCCACAGCTACCGCAGCAATATAAGCTTTTCTTGCTTCTTCCATCTTCTGCATCTCCATCTCGTCCAAATCATCCTGTTCAAGCAGAGATATTTACTTTTAAAGTCAGCATGAAAGATGGCCAAAAGGAAAGTCAACATAAAAGAATATGCATTTCTCCAGCCTTAAGACAAGGCTGTTGGGTAAAATAAACAAGAGATTGACTAACTCATGAGTCACCATTTTAGGAAGGTGACCTAAATCACACAGTGCAGCCTTGGAACCTTTGGCATACACAGAAAGCATGCAAAATGAAGTTGCGCATCATTGTTGTCAAAGTTTTCATGAACTCACAATACTAGGCACGTGACTGAATTCATTCAGCTTGAAGTCAGAGTCATCAGTGTATTCGACAGGATCATATTTAGTCAAGCCTTCAAGTAGCAGCATGAATGATGAAATATCCCCCTGCATGGAATCTAGCTCTTCTTGAAGCTTCTCCACTTTCTTGTTGGATGTCATTGCTTCCCACCGTGTCTTTTCAAGAGCAGCTTGCTTGTCTGCAAGTTTTATCTGTGGCAAAGGGGAGAGAGATAAAAAACTTTCCTCCAACAGGGATACCTTTTTCGGCCTTATGTTATTCATGAGATGCTGGAACAGAAGTTCTAAACATTGAAAAAAAATAAAGTTTTGATTTTGGATATTGATGAATCCTTATGAGGATAGAGGTTTCTTCACACCAAAATGAGTCTTCGCCACAAAACCATTGTGGCACTACCCGTCACAATCTAGACAAGAATCAAAGTTTCAAGAACAATGTTATCCTTGAGTTGAACCAAAACAAACAACAAAATCATGTTAGTGCTAACTTTGCACCTATAACACCTTCGTAGTTTCCCCATGCATAGAGCTATCTACATCCATCACAATTCTAGGAATTAGCTTTCAACACACAGCAATCATGGCTTTCATTTCCAGTGACATGCAGAGGCATGCATTGAGTTTCAGAAATTTGAGGCGACTAATCCACCTCATAATGAATGAACTCTGCAATTTATTATGCCAAATTAGTAATGGAATAACTAAAAAAGTAGAATGGCACCTTAGTGTCAGAAAGTTGTCGCTGAGTAGACTTGAGTAAAGAGTCCTTCTCTAAAGCCTGGCGCATCAGTTCATCAAGTTTTATCTTAAGATCATTCACCTGGATCCTTGAGTTTTCTGCTGACTTTAGAAGTTCATCTTTCTCCAGTAATTTCCTCTGCAGATCCTCCACCTGCTCCTTCAATATAAATAATTCTTCTCTCTCCTTTTCAGATGTCGAAGCTCTTGAAGAAAACGTTGGTAAGTTGTCTGTGTCAAGGTTATTACTATCATTTTTTCCCTGTTCCTTTTCTGCATGGTCCTTTTTCCTTCTGGTAGGAATAGATTGAGCAGTGTTCCTACCTCTTGAATCTGCTATCTATCAAGGGTCAGAAAACATCAGCTATGATGATCATGACAGATGAATATCAGCAGAGACGCTGCAATCAAAACAAACTAAACAGTCTAACAAGAAATTGTAGCTGCAAAAAGAAAAGCATCAGATGGCCCCATGTGAGTAATAGAAAGTAGTAATACCAATATAATAATGACAATGAAAACAACAAAGTTTTAACAAGTATAGATAAATAATACAGCTCTTTATAAAATAAAGCTTCAATCATTGAAAATAAGAATGAAACAGAGTAATAGACCTATATACAGACAGTATGTAGATCAGAGAGCATCCACTGAAAACTGTGTTCTTTTAATTTCAATAATAAAATATTGCACCATCAAAGTCATTCCAATAGGCCTAGCACACTCATTTCACTGATGTTATGTAAACACTATGACTCACATCATAATCAACGACCTCTCAGAAAATCATCTCACTGAGGGCTTTCCAGTCTAAAAGCTTGAAATGAAGGAAATCAAACAAAGGTAATTTGAGAAATAAAGTAATAATATGTTAGGAAAGAGACAAACATTCTTAGGAGCTTACACAATCAAAAGATTGCATCTCAATTGTAGAATCTAATGCTCACAGGCAAGAAGGGCTACTGCACATAAATCAATATTGACAAAGTAAAATGTACAGAAGAATATTTCATTCGATGAAGGGCTAGAGGAAGGAAGTTGCTAAATCAAGTGAGATGGATGTGTGCTCCATGTCAGCTAAACAACTCCAGGAAACCTCTAGATAAATGAAGGAATGACAAGGAAGGAAAGAGGAAAAACTTATAAAGAACAACTGATCCTATTTAACTTAAAAGTTAAAACATACAATTCAAGAGAAGAAAAATGATCCTTGTCCCAGATGTGCTTTAAATAAACCTATCTCATATCACAACCAGTATAGAAAAGAATTTCGTAAGAGTATGTTTGGCTGGGGCGGGGGGTAGTGGAGAGAAGGGTTGGGAAGGGATGGTCAAACTGTAATTTCCCTTCCCCTTGTTCACGAAAAGTTCTCCTCTAGAATTCTCCAAATTAGCAGACCTTAAAATTACAAAGCAAAGAGGATTTTGGAGGCTTTGTTAAAAAATCTTAGTCTCCCAGGGCAAAACAAACGTTAGGAATAAATATTGTATATGATTTGTTCCGTGCATTAGTAAAGGCCATTTTTGCCTTTGTGATGCCAAACAGACCCTCCTTGTAACAAAATCCCAGACGAGGGAGAGATTTCAATGAACACTTCAATTCCCCTCCAATCTCCATTATCCCCTAATACAAACATACCCCAAGGGTTAATGCAGCAAACTATGAAATTCTGACTATTAACGCACAAAGAACATGCATTTAGAAAGTGTTAAGAAGCTCAAAAACTCAAATCATGAGCTAAACAAATGAGCATAAGAAAAGTCTTGCAGTCTTACTCTTTTAGATAATGTTTCTCTTGAGGGTGTCTTGGTGTAGATTATAGAACCACGGCGGGTGAATGAACTGCTTGCTTTACGATCCTAATCATATTTAAACAATAGGGCTCAGACCATTAACAGAGAAAGTCCCGTGTCAGGACACGTTTGACAAAAGAAAAGAAAAGAACACAGAGAGAGATGGAAAAGGAAAAAGAATAAAAGATCGAACTTACTGCAATTTCATTGTTTGCAGTTAAATTTACTATCTTTACAGCACAAAAAGTCACAAAAAAGAAAGTTTTATGGTCTAAGTTATAACATTTCCTTCTCGTTTCTTCATCTTTAACTTTCAGGGATCCGGTTTCCCAACAAGGTAATTCATTTAACAACGGAGAACAGACAACTCATAAATCATCATGGAGCTGAATTTATCCATCTCGCATAAAAATCCAACATTGCAATACCATCAAATCCTCCCACCAACAATTAGTGAACAATTTTTGATTATATTAAGCCGAAAATGATAAAGGGGGAAGGGAAATTACGATGAGGGACTGAACGAGCGGGACAATCTCGACGAGGTCGTTGAAAAGGACGCGATCCAAGCTCCCATTAGTCCCGGACGCAGTAGCAGGGTTAGCAAGCGAGAACTGAGCTTGACGTTGAGCGAAGGACGAGTTGTCGTCTGCCGAAAGCCAAGAATTTGGGTCACCAAAATTGGAATTTTCTTGCAAATCCATGAAATGCTGCCCCTCGTACATTTCTTCTTTCCCCTGATTTTTCAAAGGGGCATAGAAGATCCGGATGAAAAAAAGAGGCGATTGGGCAGAGAAGAACACAGAGAGAGAATGATAGATGAAGTAAAAGCTCAGCCAGCAGAGAGTGACTCCTTGAGAGACCGTTTTGAAAATGCTTCCGTTTCCAGAAATCCTGGAATGACAATATTGCCACTGCAACTTTCTTTCCAGTTTCCAGTACGGTTCAACCGGCTAGAAATTTTTTGAATAAGTAAACGGGAAACGAGCGATGATAGCACCGTCAATTTTAAAAAGAAAAAGTTAAAAGTATTAATAATAAAAGTTTTTGTTTTTTGACATCATACTAAAAGTTAGTTTGTGGGTGAATAATTGGGAAAAAATTGCATTGGGTATACTGCCGTAAAGGTAAAATCTTTTTTTGGTGTGAGACTTTAAATTTATTTTTTTATAGAGTTAAGGAGAAAAATATTTTAAAAGTTTTTTTAAAAATAGCACTAGGTACCCTTACCTTTTAAAAGGAACAATGTCATTTTAAAAGTATTAAAAATGATGCAATGTTGCTTTACCGTTACGATTGATTGTTTATTGTATTTTATTTAACACGTGGCATATATCTAGCATCTTTAAAAAAGTTAATAAAATTTATACATGTAAAAACAATAGAATTCTCTCCCTACTTCTAGTTCTTCGAGCACCTTCAAGAGGTGAATGGCCTTTGCAATCTTCAATCTTCAAGCACCTTCTCCATGTCCATACTCGCCTCCCTTCTTTGTCTCTAATTTCTGCCAACCTTTCAGATCTTGCTTTCCCTCTCACACTCTCCCTTTAACCCTCTCACTTTGAACTTATCAATGTCCACTGCTGTCAATTTTGATTACACACGCCACCATCAAAGTCTTCACGCACAACATTGTTGAACTCAGTTCTTCTTATATCTGTTGAGTTGTCAAACTGCTTTCCTCATCTTATTGAAATAATGTCCAATCTTTCTTCTTCATATTCATTGTTATTTGTAGCTGTGTTAGTTAGATAGGAGTGTTTAGGTGCCGATATCGATTTTCATGGCAGAGATCGATTTTCTTCTTTATACCCATTGTTCTTCTGTTGGTTGGAAATGGATGTAGGGGCTTTAAATTTTGTATCTTTAAGATACGTTCAAGGTTCAATTTGAAATGGATTTCACTTTACTTTTTTTTTTGAGATCTTGAAATGATTGAATTTAAGGTTCGATTTTTGCTTTGATTTTTCTCTAATTAAATCCCACACACTAGTGTTGAATTTTATGATCTGGTTTCCTCTTATTTTTGCTTCTCTGCTTCATATTGTTTTCTTCGTGAACGATTAAAACTCTAGTGTTGAAATTTTTATTTTCTTCTACCACAACTTTGAATATTTTTTAGCTTGATTAAAGCTCTGAATGGCACATAAGGTTTGATTTGTTTTCTTTAATTAAAGCTTTAAAACATTCACCGGGCGAGGTTGTGCATGTGTCGTTGGTGTGTCTAAAATTTAAGATGGAAGAGAATTTGGACAAAGCTTTCATGGCTTGCCATGTCATCAAATTTTTCAGTCTTCTATTAATCAAATATTGGTCAAAGGTTCACTTTTAACATTTTCGGTTGCTCCTTCTAAAAGATGACAGTACCCAGTGCTCCTTTTAAAAAGCTTCTGAAACATTTTTTCCCTTTAACCTTTTTTTATATAATAAATAGAAGAATCACATTGTAGTAAGGAAGTAAATGCAACCCCTCACTTAAATAAATATTATAATTAGGGTATGTAAATTTCGTAAATTTATATCCCTATTTTTAATATTTTGCATCCTCTAAACTAAAAAAGATTATGGGAAATTATGTTGAAGTCCTACACAAAAAATTAATTATTACAAAGTTCATTGATAATTAATTGTGTTGTTAATGACTTTAGTTCATTTACTAATAGACCTTATAGTAATTAATTTTCTTATATGAGACATGTATCTAATTCTCCCAAAAAATTATTTGAGCTCAAAAACTTATTAGATATAAAATAGCTTAATGATTTACATAACATATAAAAAGTATATTTACAAAAAAGATCATATCAATCTATTTAATATAATTTTTAAAAAAGAAAATGATAATCAATCTTTTTATATTATTATAATTTTAGTCCTATAGTGTAATTATTGTTTTTAATTATTAAATTATTACTTTTAAAAAACATCAATTTTTTTATTAAACATCCCATAGCCTCGACTTTGGGTCCTAGCTCTATCACTATGTATAATGTTCCTTTTTAACTTTTAAAAACAATATAATTTGACTCCTGCTATTAATAAAAATTAATTTTGATCATTAGTTAATCAAGAAATAATAAAAATGACTTAAAAAATTATAGAAAATGACAAAAAAAAACTATAGTATGAATCCAAAAATTACAAATAATAACTTTAAAAAAATATGGAGAAAGGTCCAAGAAAATTTTATTGGCCTTTTTTTGCAATTTTTTATATCATTTTATGTCCTTTTTCTGATCAATTAATAATTAAAGTTAATTTTTATTAATAGCAGGAACCAAAGTATATCATTTTTAAAAATTAAAAAAAAATATTATGTAAAAAATATTCCTAAATTTGTTGTTTATGGACTGATTTGGTATTTTATACCTCCCAAAAGTGTCCAATTATTTTTCTTTATAAAATGAATGAGAATGATACTTTTGTACTTTTAAGAAAATCAATTTTTTATTACTTAGAGTTACAGTTATTATTCTATTAGAAGCAATCATATTAAAATTATGGTCAGATATTAAATAAGAGTATATCTCTTAATAAAAATTTAAATTTTAATTTATTATATTGTGAAAGACTAACGCTTTTTATAAGACCAAATGCCTTTGGTAAAAAATTAATTTTACACCCACAAGATTGAAATCCTAAATTTCATGCTCAATGGGAGATGGCAGTATTTGAAAAGTATAAGTTACTGATTTTAATAAAAGACTAAAATAGTTTAAAATTTTTTTCCGGCCAGAAAATAATTTAAAATTTTAATAAAAGAAATATGTTTATAAATGGACACAATTTTCAAAATTAAATTACTTTAATGCTTATAGAGTTTTTTCTTTTTAATAACTTTAAATTGTCTGCTTAAAAATTTTACTCCTGTCTTTCTAAATTTACAACCTGTTAAAAAGTATTTTACAACCAACACTCACAGAAAATTTTAAAAATTTATTAATTCAATGTAAAAATGGGAAAAAAAATTAGTGATGAGTTACTGTTTAATGAGTTGCAAATTTAAGAAATAAAATCTGCCTACACCTGTTGCTACAATTTTCCCGTCATATCTCCCTCTGCTTCATTCCATCTATTCATTTTAGGTCATTGTTAACATGTTGGGCCATTTCAGGCCCATCAACCAACCTTTATTTTTTATATTTTGCATTGATATTTAATTTGTGTTAATTTTGTTATGCGTGTTTGTTTAAAATTCTTTCATTCTATATGTGTTTGTTTTAATTTAGACTAAAGTATAATTTTAATCCTCTAAATTTAATTTATATAAAATTTTAATTTGATCCTTTAATTTTATAAAGTATCTTTTTAGTTCTTTAACTCTAACATATTTAATTTCAAATGATTATTTTTTATATCAATCATTATTATTTTAAAAAATTAAAATTAATATGTCAATATTTAATAACATTTTGTCAATATCTAAAATTTTGATATAAAAAATTGTTAAAATAAAACTAATAATATTAAAGTTAAATGATTGAAAAGATACTTTATAAATTTAAAAGATTAAAATAAAACAACGTGTAAAGTTAAAACATTAAATGTATACTTTTTTTAAAATTTTATTTTATTGTAACAATTACCTCATTTTTTTAACTCGTTATTGTTTAAGCCTACAGTCATTTAAACTAGACTTTTTTCTTGACCTAATTAAATCATAGTTGTTAATATCATAAAGAGAAGGAAAAAAAACACGACCACTGCATGGTTTAATTTGCAAGAAAGCATGTTATTCATAATATATTTGTAGCAACGCTTCCTAAAGATTTTATATTTTCTATTAATGTTAATATTGACACTAATATTCGTATTAAAACTACCGAGATTTTTTAAGTTTTACACGGAGTTGCTTGAAATTAAATTGGCATTATATTTGCATTGACATTATTGATTAATCATTTTACTATTTATTCCTTTTCAAAGCCTGTCATTATCCCTTGATTTTACCTCCTTTGTTACTTTGCCCTTTCTTTCCAGACACGGATGATACCTCGAAACCAATATATGTGTGATGAAATCCAGTTCATACCATTAAAAGTTTATTAGTTACGCATTTTTTTATCACCCAGATAAATTTTAAATGGGCTTTTGCTGACAAAGTCAAATTCACATCAGCCTTCGTCACTGAGGCTCAAGCACTTGATCGAGATCTTCTATTGGCAGTGGGATCTGTGAACATTGGTAAGGCTTATTTTGAAAGTGAGTCTCTCTCCCTTGTCTCCTGCATTCAAAAAGGCCAAACTGATTTGGGGGATTAGACCTGTAGAGAAATTGTTGAAGATGCTTTCGTGGCATCAAATGTTGGCTTGCTCTTCCCTTTGTCCTACAGCTGATCTTGTTGCTACTATTGCTATCAAGGGACCATCACTCCCGTTGCCTCGTCTTTTAGCCTTGGATGTTGCGGGATAGCTTCAAGCTCAAATGGGTTCACATTGTGACGACGGAGACGCATTAAAGTTTGCATGAAGTTTTCATGATGATCAGCTTATAGGAGATGGCCACGTGGCAGACAGAAAGCATGAGGGAAGCATGGATCAAAACAGCCAGGGCAAGATGAGGCATAGCCTACGCCAATCAACTCCCACATGGAAGATGCATGAGGCACAAGAGAGCATGTAAAAGGGGATCGTGTAGGAACATTAGGGGTTATCTGTGAAGAACTTTCCCTCTATACTCTCTCTCTCTCTTCCATTTCTGTTACTCTACTTCCATTTCAGTGTGACAAAACCTTTCCATTAGTGAATAATATTAGCTGCCTTGAGCTGTTTCTAAGATTAACCATTGCATACGTGCGTGTGAGTTGATAATGGTGTGACAAAGGTGCTCTCATTGAGAGTTGAGCACTGCCTCATCATGATGGCTAAGAATACCAAAATGAAGGAGATTTTGAAGGATGTGAAGCAACTAA